CGGGCTGGAATGTAGCCCTGCCCATGGCTGAGTATCCGCAGCTGAGCGAAAGTCGAGTAGTGGGGAGAAAAGGGGGCCGCCGGGACAGGGTCCCCAGCGCTCCCAGTCCAACGGGTAGTCACTTGGATGCCGCTCACCTGGCCAGGCCTGCAGTTCATCTCCAATAGGTCTACATCTTGAAACTTACTAGTTTCTTGTGGCCCATAGTTACCTACACATCAGTCTTCTGCCCAGTATTCATTTTTCCACCAAAATCTGGCCCCATGTGAATTCCGTTGGACACCTCCGCTAATGTAATCGTTATTTCCACATGCCCATTGTTAGCCTCCATACCTTTACGGTGTGCTTCTTGACACAAGGCCCTTCCTCCTCCTTGCTTATCTGAAGCTTGTTTCCTTTAAGTGTCCTCACAGCTCCTCCCTCCTGTTAGCCCTCCCCATTCTCTTAATTCCCTTACCAATTTCTTCACTAAGAGTTTAGATCTTGGAGTGACTTTAAATCGAGTTTATATTCCAGATCTTCTACTTACAAGTGATGTGAGCTTAGGCATGCAATTTTAGCTGTTGCAGATTCACTATTCTCATCTGTAAAATGGGGATAATAATAGCACCTACCTCCTAGGGTGGCTATGAAGATTGAGAGGATGAATATAAAGCACTTAGCGCCATGCCTGGCTTAGAAAAGTACTTCATAAATCATAGGTGTTTTCATCATCATTTGACAGTAATGTAATTGTAATTTTTTTCATATATGGTGTGTTTTTATAACTGGGTTGTAAGTTACGTATGGAAACTGTCTTTGGTATTTCCCACCATGTCTGGTATGGCATTGAGCAGGTAGTTGTACCTCAATTAATGTTAAATGAATGAATGAATGAATGAAAGTCAGTCCTGCTCAGCCAGGTACCCCTATGTATGGTCCCTAATCAATGTCATTAAAAAGTTCAATAACATAAATCTTTGCCTCTCAACTAAAGAACCAACTCCCTAATCATTTTACATACTTTTTGTTTTCTTAACAATCTGGGTAACTTTCTTAAATTATGCAGTGATTCATGTGATGTGCCTCCATGCAGAATTTGTTATGGCACAGTGGTAAAAAAAACTAGACATTAAGTTATCACCATTAAATCCCTTTTGGAATCTGAATATGTACTCTTACTATAACTCTCATGTGTTCTTCTGCATCTAAAAGCTGGGATCATTGCTTCTTTTCATTCTTGCTTTTGTTCACATTGAGTGCTTCTTCAGGAATCCATTTTGCAGCCATGGGGGGAAATGGCTAATGAGCTTTGCTCATTATCTGACATTTCCATCCAGTATGGAAACATTTTCAGTTTCCTTATCTCATTCTTTGTAAATTCTGCTACACACACACACACACACACGCACACACACACACTTTTTGGCACATAGCCAGCCTGCATTCTTAGGGTTTGATCTATGCGTCAATGCATATTATCATATGATCTGTATTTTTCAATTAGCTTGAAATTCAGAGATAAAACCAAGAAGGAAGGCTACAACTTCCTAAGTTTTAAATTTTCAAGTGACTTTTAGTGACTAGATTCATTTTGGACTAGAAGCTGTGCTATATAAAAATACACTGTCTTAGTATCCTCAAGCCCCTGAGATACAAAACCTCTATATCTTGGTCCCCAGATCCAGGAAGGCTTTCTGTGGTTGGGACCCAATAGTAATCTGTCTCTAGATCATTTCTTAAATTTTTGTCAAGAATGAGGTATGGAATGTGATGGGGTCTGTTATTGTTTCTGAAGCTGGTTCACAATCTTCATAAAGGTGAAAACCCAGAACTGAATCCTGGGGTGGCACCATATCTGACCCCAGCCAGAGTGTCCACCCATTGTCCTGCCACAGGGACTGCAGCCAAGGAAGCTCCCAGAGAGCCATATGTCAGCATCCAAGGCAGAAAAACCAACAAATGTTTCTTTTAGCATGTTCAAGTCTTTGACTTTAAAGAAAGGCATTCCATCTTTGACACAGAAGAGAAGGACCATTCTGAAACAATTTGCTGAAAATAGCCAATTAGCCAATTTAGTTAATTTATGACATTTTAAGTTTAGTTAACTGGAAATCATTTTGTTTTTCATCACAATATATTAAAAAATCTTGAATTTGTCTCTGCTCCAGCTTCCTATAGATAGTTTGAAACTGGGAAGTAAAGAGGAAAAAACAGGGAACATAAGATTTCTTCACAGTGAATACTGTTTATAAATATATTTAAAAGAACACATTCCCAAGGAATGTATTCAGTTTTTGTCTGCCCTAACTTTTTGATGCTGCTTCAGACTCCAACGATAGCAGCAAGGAGCTGAGGCAGAGATAAATTGAATAGTCATTAAAATGCTGTTATGAAGACAAAATGACAACACACAAATCAATTTGGTAAATTGCTCATTTAGTAAATTAGCTCTTTTTCAAAATGGCCCTCAACAAAGTAACCTGCCTCCTAGGTGGGTTTATTAGACACAACCAAGTATCACAAACGAAGCAATTTCACCATTTTTGCTGAGAGCAATCATCATGCTGCTCATTAGTTACTTTGTGGATTAACGACTGCAGCGTGTTTTGGGGAAAAAAAACTTCTCAAACGTTCTGAGGAAATAGTTCAAATACTGGTCATTCCTGTAACACTCCTTGCCTCGTATTGGCACCACCTCTATCTCCTTCAATAGAGTCTCAGATTTGGGGGCCAATCTTAAACCCAAAGGAGGATGCTTCTCAGAATAATTATCTCTGTCCTGCCCCTTAGCTGTCTGAAGTTAAAAAAAAAAAAGACAAGAGAATTTGGCTTAAGGACCACAGTCCAGACAATAAACACTGCAGGGAAAATAAGGGGGAGGAGGTTTAAAGGACACCAGATATTATGCGCCTTGTTGCATGCATTTAGGTTACATAATCCGCTTCAGGAGACTTTGTTTTGGAGATCTTATCCCCCAAATCTAGAGTGCCTTTACCACCGTCCTCAGTACTCAACATCTTTGAAGTACCTGAGCATTGTTGAAGGAGATATTGCCTGGAGACCTGTTGGGAGTTGAGGCCAACTTTCCCTTTTGTGGTTCCCATATGCTAATAAACTCCCCAGAAACCCCACATCCTGTCCTTCTTGGAGTACTACTGTTTGATGCTGAGGAAGCAGACACTTGAAGGAGATCCAAATCTGGGGCTCACGTGGGGCCAATGGCAACATCTGTTAAGGAGATAATCTTGAAAGAATAAGGGGGATTAGATTAGAAAGAAAAATCAGAAACTGATCTCATGAGGAAGAACAAGCCTTGCTCTCATCTTGCAGTCACAGTGTGCCTGCTATTTGCCAAAGGATGTTACTATTTTGGTCATCATCATAATCAGGGCTGTCCTACCACCTCAATACCACACCTCCAGAGAAAGGATCGCAAATGTTTTCTCTTTGTGAAAGTTCTCAAACTTAAAGGAGTTAACTGCAAATTTATTGTGTTGATTTTAATATTTTTGTCGATTTTAACATATAAATACAAGACAATTAAATAGAGAAGAAATATTGCAAAGGCAAATCAGCACACATAGAAGTGTATTACATTATTATTATGGTTAGCCTGGGATACAACATTCACTTGAAATATATGCAAGGGAACCTTAGTGAAAGGCCTAACTAAAAGGTTTGGAAATGTTCCTAATAAGGACACACTTGAGGCACTGCTCAAGCAGCTGTAGGTGGGAAGCAAGACAGACCCTCTATAACTAGGAGCAATCAGGAATTGATACATATGGAAATAATAGCATTGCAGGGCAGTTCACCATTCCCAATAGCTGTTCCCCTTGTCACTACACACTCTTCAAGACTAGAGCTCTTTTAAAAAATAATTATAGCTCTGGCTAGGCCAGAGTGTACCAGTCATAACCACCAACAAAGTACCATCGAATGCCTTTTAAAGAACAGCGATATGATTTTTTCTTTATATACATCACTTTTAAAAAGTAATCCCTATGCTACTCCCCTTTTATGAAAGGCCCTGGGGATCTGAGAAGTGGCAGTGTATGTATCTCCTCCACATTCACAATTTACCTGACATGGTCTAGATTGCACTCCCATCCCTCTCTGAGGCATGGTATTAAGCCAAACATCTTGGTGCAGATTCCATAAGTTAATGATTAGGGATAAGGTCAGGAGATGGATATCGAATACCATGTCTACAGGTGTATACAATTCACACCCTGTACAAGGGTACACCCTAGAGGGTGAGTGGGGCGAAAATATGGCCCCCACTCTGTTTGCCAAACCATGAGCCCATGGGGCTGTGTCTGTCTAGTGGCAGCACCTTTTACTATTTTGCTCAAAGGCACTGTATGAGCTAATTGTGGAACTGTCTGCTTACATTTTTCCAGTCTGGCTGGCATCATTATTTCTTGATTTGAATGAAGTTTCTGTATTTCACATCCCATATAATCTCCAAAAAGGGTTTTAGAACTCACTGAACCAGCAAGGTTTTTTTGAGTTATAACATTAGACACAACAACACAAGCATGATTCTACAAAGAAATAAATTTACACAGTAGAAAATAAATACAAAAAATGTAGAACTAAGATTTTTGACATATGAGTCACTAGAATTGAGCTTATTTACAACAAAGACATGCACAACTAAACTCACCAACAGGCTGAAGTCAACAGTTGCTTAGTATAATGTTATCAAAGATAACATAACCTCTTTAAAATGTGGCTGGAAATGAACTACTTTTATTTTCTTTAAATGAATCTTATTTAGTATGTTGTTTAAAACCAATCTTCTTTTAAAATGAAGGATAAGAAACCAAGTTGCAAATGTCTCAAAATATCTTGGTTTCCTCTTCCAGTAGTAACCACTGCCCTCAATTAGCTTATGGTCCTCCAGGGGTTGCTGAGTATAAAATTAGTTGATTTCCATACATCTCACATTGCGGAAAAGGTAAAAATGGACGTTTTCACTGTCAAGCATCATGCTTTGATTTCAGAAAAAGGAATCACATTTGCTCAATAAAGTGTAAGCTTCCCCGCTTTGAAGTCCTTCTGAGAGCGATACGACTTTTACCATTATAGGAATCTTCTTTCTCATTAAACATGTGCTGTTTTCCAGTGAAATCATGAAGGCACACATCTCCGTTCTGAACACTGAAAGAAACACCATTCTTCTCTGTAGAAGCATTCCCTATATAAAGAAAAATAAAATTGGTGTCATGAAGTATCCACAAAAAGTATTTTAAAAATAAACTTCAGTATTACTTTATTTTTAAGTATACACACATATTTTAAAAAATGTTTATGATATATTGTCATATTTACTTTCATTCCTTCCCTAAAGCCACACAAGGGAAGCAAAACATGTTGGAGGATATTTCCTCTATGGCAGTTTTTAAAAATGAAATGGTCAAAATACGAAGCAAAACAATATATTTTATTTTAAAAGGCCCATTTCCTAACTCTGCTTGAACATATATTGACTTCAAGTAGTAGCATGTGTGTAATATAACCTGATGTAATATTCTGATCTACCCCCAAAAGTTATGGTTAACAGAGATCACCATATGACCTCTTACAAGGTTCTTGGTCCCCTAAGCTTCCTATTAAATAAAACTTTGTACCAGAGAAACCTAGAGTGACAACAGTCATGGCAAGGAAAAAAAACGGTCTCTTGTACACTGAACCTGCCCCTCTTACTGGACCAGGATAGGAGTGATTCCCAAGAGGAAACCTTTAATTCCAACCTTAGAGTCCAGGCCACGGGGCAGCTGGGCATTCTCGAGAAACTGTAATTTGGACTCTACCCCAAGCAGACCTTGAATTGTGTGTGTGGGGAGCGGGAGCACGTACAACAGCTGATGCCCTCTAGCTACTTGACATCATCCTTCTGACCGTTATACCATTAGAAGACAACTTAGAAAGCTGAATAATAAGCCCATTTGTTAGTTTATACCATAGGTATAATAATGACAACAGTGCTAAGAACTTTAAAAGTACTACATCATCTATTACCCTACGGGATGGGTGCAGTTATTATCCCCATCTCACAGATGATGAAACTAAGGTTTCAGAAATTAAGTGTTTTGCTTAAGGTTAAATGGCTCAGTAGTGATGGAGTCAACATGTGCTGTTTCTTCCAAACTGTGAGCTTGTGGCCTATGTACCAAGTGAGATAGCTGTTGGTACACAAGCCTCTAAGGCAGCCCATAATTGAAATATGTACCATTCACGTGAACTACATGATAGATATTGTTAACACAGCACCATCTCTGACACAGCTCAAATAAAGCATGTGACTGTCTGAGGTAGCTGTCCCGATTTAGACATTTTGCTTCGAGGACATTTTGGTGCAGGAACAATTTTACCTAGTATAGTAAAGCATTAAATTTCCAGCTTTTTTGAAAGTACCTATCCCATCCCTTGTCCATTCTAGATACTGTTGTATGGACTGAGGAGTCAGGGATGTCTGTCTGACATGCATTTTATATGGTATTAAACACTTGGCTATTTTGGTGGCCTAAAATGCAACCCCACCCTCACCATCGGGCAGCAAAAATAGCTGTGTCAAATTAGTCATGTCAGACAGCTGTGCAAACTGTGCTGCTTCCATCAAATCTGACTCCCTGAAGGATGGCAACATATTCCTAGGGTAGGCAAATGAGGCTTCATCTCAGCTCTTTCTAGAATATGCATACATCTGGCTTTTAAGATACTCAAACACTTCTTTGCAAGCCAGTAGGTCTTCCTGACATGTTGTGATTCTTGGTGGTTCACCTCACACCTTTAATTTCTCTACTTTGAACTTGCTTTCTCATGCTAACAGTGAATCAACCTTGATTACCACTGTCTCTAATCTGTTTACCTACATATGAGTCATTCCTGATAGAGTTATTTGGCACAGAAGCCAGAGCTCTTCCCTAGTACCTACAGTAAAGAGCTAAGGCCATGTGGCAGCCTTTTCTCACCTTATACAGCAATGGTTCTCAGTGATGGTGCAGGAGATTTTTACTCCCCAGAGGACATTTCCCAATGTCTAAAGACATTTTTTGTTGTCACAACTGGGGAGTGAGTATGTGGGTGCTACTGGTATCTGGTGGGTGGAAACTAGGAATGTTGCCAAATGTCCCAAAATGCACAAGACAGTGCCCTGCAACAAGGTTTTATATAGCCCCAAATGTCAATTGTACTGAGGTAGAGAAACCTCAATTTAGAGGCACCTTTGAGAGGTTGGAAAATTATTTGGTAGGTGTATGTATGAACCTTCTCATAAATTTATTTGAATTCATCATGAAAATAACTAATATCCTGAAACAATGAATAAAGGGCAAATTATCCAGGAAAGGAGAAAGTATACCAGCAAATTTAAGTTTTTTTATAAAAATGCAAAAGATGTATTAAGAAGCCAAAGGAGAAAGAAATAGATAAGCTTTTATGAGTAATGAACAGCCCAGTCTTATGAAAGAAAGGAAATGTAATGGAAGTTTTAGCTAGAAATGTCAGAATTAATGAGTAAGGCTGGTGCAGCAGCAATAATCTGTTCATATATTGGTGACATATATTGTCATCAATACTGGTTAGGGTATTTGATATATTTATGGGGATTCGGGCACTGTCACAAGGAGCCACACTGTGGAAAATAATGAACAAACATGGTAAGTGAAAAAGAGGAAGGTTTAGTCACATTGAAGATGTGTATGACTATAGGTGAGGTAAAAATTGACATAATTTTATCAACTATTTTAGGTCCTGGTCCTAGAAATAACAGAAATTTTGGGTAATACTTAAATCAGGATTTGCAATGTTAAAACTTTTAGGTCATCATCAATTCCCATCACAAAAACTGAATCTTAAAAAAAAAACAACCACCAACCCAGTTCTGGTATTTGCTCTAAAGTGAATCCATTTGGATTAATAAACTTCCTCTTTTATAAGGGAACCACACTTTGACCCACTAGCCATATGTGTAATTGTTCATTTTCCAGAGCAAAAAGGCTGTCAAAGGATAATAATACTTTAATAATATGAACACTAGCTTAAGAAATACTATATTGAGAGATACATACCATTCCCGCTCATGAGTCCTGAGCAATCATTATTCACTAGCAGTGTGGTGGAATGGGTGGAGTTACTGTTTGACTGTAGGGAATTTGAAGAGCTGGACACTCCTTGGTTTACAGTCTGCTTCTTTAAACCATTAGTAGCAGTTTTGCTCCAGTCTATAGCAGAATAAGCATTACAGAAAAACAGGGAGGAATGTTGAAGCTCAAAGGCAAGAGACAGATCACAATGTAACTTGTAGTAACTGATCTCCCACTTCGAGATCTTACAGAGAAGTCACACATTTCACAAGTTGGTATGATGAAATGTCTGCTCATTTAAGACTATATACGTTTGTTCTTTAAATGACTACTTGGCTAAAAGTAGCATATATTCTCTTAGAAACAAAGGCCAAGCTAATTTGATTATCTCTATAAATAGCCACTGAATTATGTAATAGCCAAGTTGTGTAAGTTCTTAACAACACATACTGACCTTGTTGTGATGACTCATGGTTCTTCAATCCATGCAAATGACTAAACTACATGTACTGCCATTTTCTGAATATATATCTTGTGCAACCAGAACTTTGCAATACTACAAAGGTTATATTCATGGGTGGTATTCACACAAAAGGAGTTTAGTTTTCAGACAGTACTTACATTTTCTTATTCTCTTAAAAATGAGCTATTCTACAATCCAACAGAACGTGAAAATGTTATAACTTCAAAATAACCAAGCGTATGCTATAACCAAACCACCAAATAAATGTATGCTGAAGTTTATATACAGGGTTGAGTCAAGACTTAAAAAATTATGAAAGTAAATATTAAAAATTACTTTGAGTGAATGGGAAACATTAGTTCAAAAGGAAATATATTCTAAAATTTTCACTGTTGCTTCATTAAACAAAAAAAGCCAAACATTAATTCTATTGCTCATTAAGTTCCTAGATATGAGTAATTATTTTTTAATTCATTAGGGTTTTTTGTCCCTAATATTCATAATATTTTCTGTTGAGCAGGTTCCATTCATTAATTTCCAGATCCGAAAGCCCTTTGGTATTGATTGCTTTGAATCTTAACTTATACAATCTTTTCCTCAAGATTTAGAAGGATAAAATGTAAAGTAAATCTTTACCAGAATTTTCAGCCAGCCGTAACTTTCCACAACAAAGATACCGCCTCCATTGCTTTCTGACATTCTCTTTTGCTACACAGTAAAAGATGAATATGAAAAATCCTATGGGGGAAAAAAAGACCCATAACACAATGAATTCCAAACTAAGACCTGAATGTTATGAGCTTCCTTTGCACAAAAGATAAAATCTTTGGCAGCTATAGGCAAAATGAAATTTTGCAAACTTGAAAAAAAACAAACCCAAAGTCCTGGGTTAGTTTGCTATTGAAAGGCACCCTGGGAGACTCTCTTTGTAAGATTAAAAAAAAACCTATAAAAGGAATGATAATTCTGTATTTCTAAAATTAAGCTCACTGTCTCTTCTCTGTCCTCGGCCTTCCCTAGCTTTGGAAGTACAAGCTATCCCGCCAGGATGCCAGCTCGGACCTAGGCTCCTACCTCCCACCCTTCCATATTTATAACTGACTGACTTCTAAGTCTGTCGAATGCCATCTCCTCCATTGGTCTCACATCCCTTGCTCCTCCTTTCAGCCCTCGCCTGGTCCTTCCCCTCTTCCTCACAAGCCTGGGGCACTGCAGTATTATCCTCCTGCCTTCCAGCCTCCCTCTAACCTGCTCAAGGAAATTCTCCACTGGCATCCCGGTTCAGAAGAAATGAACACTCCAGACTTAAATCAGCCCTCAGGCTCCACCCCCTATCCACCTCTGTCCTAGTCTTGCAGTCACAGAGCTTACCACACAGCCCCATTACTGTGACTCCTCAATGCTTTCACCAATAGATACTTGCTGAATGAAGGGACAAATTTGGAGTTCTCCCTCTCCCCAACCCCCAATCTATCTACTTGAAAATCTTCATTTTAAAACATCAGGTATGTCTTTTCAGGTGTTCATCCTAAAGACTGTTATCTTGACTACTGCATGCACACCTTTGTTCATTTGCAACCCTGGGCAGTTACCCTTGGTTGTATTAGGGGAGAAACAGCATGTATGAGAGAGATCAAAAAGGGGGTACCCAAGTCCCAAATCAGAGCCTAAACATATCTCTCCTTTAATCAACACCAAAGCCCTGCAAATTAGATCCCTTTTATAAATGAAACTCTACATATCTTCTGTCCATTCATATTCTAATACACAGACATTCTGGGGACATGAAGAGAAAGAGGCAGATTTAGTTTCCACATTAAATACGGGAGGGTAGATACCTTGCTTTTGTTTTTATGATTAGTGTGATCTGAGCATATTTATTTTCTCTTAAAGTGACTCTTAAAGTATGCCATTGTTGGTAAATAAAACTTTTCTATTTAATACTATGTAGTGCAACACCTAGATATACCAATCCAGGAACTGGTACATTGTAGGTTAAAATGAACAATTGTATGTAACCAACAAGCATATTAACTGGCTTCCTCCAAATAAAATAAGAACCAACGGCTAAATCAGGCATTTGAATTCAGTCTCAGGTTGGGATTTCTTTGAAAACAAACAAAATGATCTACTGCCTGATAGGACTACAGGAGGATGCTATGGGAGCTAAAGGCAACAGGAAAAGATTAAAACAAGCAGTGAGAATGCAGTTAAAAAGCATCTCAACAGAGGATTTGGAATAAAAGGAAACCAAGGGACAGGAATTATTGTTACTGTAATGTAAATCTATTAGGCTGCTCGGCTTTTAATACCAAAGTACTACACTTCCATTAAAAATTAATCAGCCCTGGCAGGTGTGGCTCAGTGGATTGAGCGCTGGCCTGCAAACCAAAGGGTCGCCGGTTCGATTCCCAGTCAGGGCACATGCCTGGATTGCAGGCCAGGTCCCCAGTAGGGGGCACGTGAGAGGCAACCACATATTGGTGTTTCTCTCCCTCTCTTTCTCCCTCCTTTCCCCTCTCTCTAAAAGTAAATAAATAAAATCTTTAAAAAATTAATCAGAGCTTACAAGTCTTCTATAACACTGGTCTAAAAGAATTAGTAATTTGCTTTCCCAAAGAATACAGCTAAGAGGTTTTGAAACAACTACAGCTGGGCTTCATTACCAAATAGGAAGCTCTGAAGTAAGGGTGATACACAGAGCCTGACCCTTTCCTGCTGCATGTCCCAGCAGAGCAACTTCTCAGGACAGGCCACTGGGTTAGGCTGCTGCCACTTGGGTCTGTCAATTGACTCCATTTTTATCATTGTCTCCCAGCCAAACACAGACCAAGGAGACCGAAGTGGTGAGACCTCACAGAAGCATGTATGGCATGTGTACTTTTCTGTATGGATGTTCTATTTCAATAATTTTTTTTAAAAGTAAGGAACCAAGCGAAGGAAGAGTAATTGACTTCTGGAATGAGTTCCTGGCAGGTTCCCCTCAGTATGTTCTTTGAGGAGATGATGGGAAAGGAAGAAAAAAACTACCACTTCTTTTTTTTAATCCTCACCCAAGGACATTTTTTTTCCCATTGGTTTTTAGAGAGAGGAAAGGAGAGAGAGAAACATCAATGTGAGAGAGAAGCATCAATCGGTTGCCCCCCTCACACCTGGACCAACAATCATACGTGACCAGACCAGGAATCATATGTGCCCAGACTGGGAGCTGAACCCGCAACCCAGGCACATACCCCTACTGGGAATCAGACCTGCAACTGTTTGGTTACAGGATGACACTCCAACTAACTGAGCCACAATGGCCAGGGCAAAGTACCACTTCTTGAATTTAATGAATGTCTTTCTTCCCAGGATCTCAAAGCACACTTTCTCAAAAATAAATCTGTTTTTCAATGAATGTATTTGAAGCTAAATAAACCACTTTGAAGATACTCGTTTAGTAGTAATATTTTTAAGTTCAACTGGGATCATTCAGTGCAGATTTACTGCTGTAGAGATTACCTTGTAAGGTGTTAAAGATGGCAAAGAGATACATGAAGGTGACATTAACTGGTCCCCAGGCAAAGAAGGCAAAGCCCCAAGTGATTCCCAGTAAAAATGTAAGGCCAGCAACGCTCCTGAGGTCTTGAATACTGGTTTTTCGCTGGGCTCCTAGTTGCTTCTTCTTTTTAATTCGACAGAGCTGGACCAGGACCACAATGAACATGCTGACATTCAGCAAAAATATCACACAGAAATATCCCACAACTGTAATGTAGAACACAGCATTGCTATTGATCCAGCAACTGTAATTTGGGAGAAAAATGGGAAAATGTATTACAATTATGAAATATGGTTTAAAATGATGCAATGAAACATATCCTACAAATAAAAAAAGGAAAAAAATGATAAAACCACTGCTCTCCACAACCATTTATACTTGTAGGGAAAAAAACCTAAGACCATTTATTTTAGGATACTTGGTTGCTGTAAATATTTAAAAATTATTCTTTAAAAACATTTAGGGTTTTACTCCATTTAAATCCTAGTAACTTTGTTCCATGAATCTTTACTAACATAATGTAACTGGTTACTTGTATTTTCTTTTTATCAGAGATTTAGAAAAGTATTTTTAAAATACCTCCTTCTTTTTTTTAATACTTGAGTAGTAGTATAGCATTTCCAATGAGTTTATCCATCTCTCTCTCTCCTTTTCCCTCTCCCTCTCGCTCTGTGTGTGTATGTGTGTGTGTACAGATTGCTGTAAATGTTACTGGATTTTATTAGGATGAGAGCCAGAATTAATATGCTGATTAGATCCCCCACTTTCTTGTTTTCCAGTTCACTTAACATTCCCTCAGGGACTTAATACTCACAAGTCATCAGGCGAGCCATTAGGGAATTTCCCATATGATCCAAGCCCATAGTTATCTGGGGATATAGTCAGGACAATGGATACAATCACAGCTGGTACTCCTGCAAGATGGGAAACACCAGTCACATGTAGTTGTAATAATCAAAGGTGGTAAGAAGAAAGGATAGAGATCATGGTCTATTTTATTCTGGCAGAAGGGCCTGGTGAATTGTTCACCAAACCCAGTTTCTCTTCCTCCTTGGTATATGGCTGAATATCTCCCAGCCTCCCTTGCAGCTAGGGAGATATGGCAACATGACTAGGTCTTGGCCAATGGAATATGGACAAAAGTAATGTGCTCTACCTCTAGGCCTGTCCCATAAAAACCTCCTATGAGATCCTCCACTCTCTTTCTCCCAAATTTAGGGCAACCTTGGAAGCCCTGTCTTGAGACAGAGCAGAGTCTCCTGAGGCTTAGATCCTCAATAACTGCAATCCCAGAGACTCCTTTGTTCCTGCTAACTGGACTGTGCATGAGTAAGAAATTATCTTCTCCTGAGGTCTCACGGTTTGTCCACTATAGCAGCTGGTGTTACCCTTATTTTATGCATGCCTGGAATATAATTTTAAGTGTCACATCGGAAGCAAAGTGAAAGGCTCCAAAATGTAAACAAAATATGAGTCATAGTCGACTTATTGGAATTACCAGCAACTCCTGGCAAATATTTTATTGTGAACTCAAAATGACTGATTATCTGGAACCCATTGATGGATTGAGGAGCCTGACCTGGTTGATTTGGGGAGGTAACTGCCATTATGCTGGCTTTCTCCAGGGCTCACAGGTCCTTCCACTAAGAGGAGGCCAATGAGAAGGCTCCTTCCAGTTTAAAATGGCTTTTGGCTAGGAAGGAGTCCTTCTCACCCACCCCTCATCACCCTCCCCCTAATCCCATGCAGACACCTCACACAGACCCACCTGATACCAAATCTCAAGGCTCTGAGATCTATAAAAACAACTCATTCTCACAGACAGGTTGGATTTCCTGGTACAACCTAACATAATATTTCATTTATCTCTTTTATATTTGTGCCTTCTGGATACACTGACATACGACTTCCAAAGTGAGACACTTTCCTAAAAATAAAATATTGGGAGTGTGGAGTTAGCCCTTGACAAGGAAATTTGACCTTTCAGGATTCTATGGAATTTGTGCCAGTGTCAGAGCAGTGACTTATTTTTCCTGGAAAGAAGTGACTTATCTCTCTGGAAAGATGTTCTGTTATTCTTCACAAATCTATAATGACAGGCAGGGTGACAAAGGTGGTAAAAGTTCTGCAACCCTGTTGTGTGGGGAATATTTGAATGAATATTTAGCCTGAGGAAGAGAAGGGAGTTTGGGAGGGATTGCATCTATAATACAGCAGAAGGGATATGCATAAGAAGTCAGAAAGCGAGGCTTGGCTGGTCTTGAGCTTGTGTGAATTGGGGTAAATCATGTCATCACTTTGAGCTGGTTTCTTCACCTGAAGTTAGCAATAACTACCTTGTTAACCTCACTGACTTGTCTTTCATGGGGTTACTTGTGTGAAAATACATTGAAAAAATGGACACTATGCACAATGTTACAGATTACCTAAAGGACTCTGGCAGAAGAGATGTCAGATGATGATGATGATAATGATGATTTTGCCTGAGAGAGTAAAATGCAGACCCGAGGTAAGTGCCAACAAAGAGCCAAATTAACTTAATGGAAAAACAGAACTGTAGAGCTTTAAAAAATTGTTACTGACTGCCTTGTAAAGTATTAAAAATAAGGCAACACGTCCCAAATGGAGTTGCTTATGCTATGGGGATTATGCTAAGCCCCATGTCACCAAACCAAGACTTAATTACAGCTTCAGCTCTCCCAGAAGTGGAATCTTACATCAATCAGTCAATCATGAATCAGCTAGTCAGCACTAGTTAGGTCATCTACCTGATAGACCCCTGTCATCCCCTAAAGGAAAGTAACCTTGCGGAAACCAACCTGTTTTTTTGTCTAGTATAACATCTTTGTGCCTGCTTCCTTCTGCCTATAAAAACCTTTCATTTTGGACAGATCATTGGAGCTCCAGTCAGTCTGCTAGATTGGATGCTGCTTAATTCATGAAATCATTGAAAAAAGCCAATTAGATCTTTAAAATTTCCTTATTAGTTGAATTGTGTTTTGTAACAAAGGTTATGAGCTCTCCCTCCCCCAAATAGAGGTGTTCAACCAGAGGTCAGGTTATCTTTTATCAGTGGTAAGTCAAGTTGAGGAGGTTCCTACATTTGGTAAGTAAGTGAATAAAGAAACCTTCAAGATCTTTGGGGTTCTAAGACTTTGTGACCCACCACCAATAGGTAGCATGGTCTGAAATATTATGCCAGTGTGGCAATGAGGCTACATTAGGTTTTATCTGTACATTCGCTCACTCTGCCCTTCTGAGCATACCATCATGCATGTATGTGATATCTGGGAGGTACAGAACAGAGTGAGGCTAGCTGGGAGCTTAGGGGCTGAGAGTCTGGCTTCATTGTTACCAAGCTAACTTTTTCAATTTATTGAGCACCTTCTGTGTGCCAGCCCCAATTCTATTTGCTGAAGATACAAATTCATAGCTCCAAACCTCAGCTTTTTTAAACTTCAGAGTTTTTTGTAAAATATATTTTTATTTATCAATTACATTTGATGTACAATATGATGTTAATTTAAGATTTATAACCCAGTGATTAGACATTTATATTATTTTTGAAGTGATCACCTCAATAAATGAAGTACCCATCTGGTACCATAGATAGTTATTACAATAGTATTGACTATATTCCCTGTGCTGTACTTTATATCCCCATGACTATTTTGTAACTACCAATTTGTGCTTCTTAATCCCTTTACCTTTTTCACCCAGTCCTCTAACCCCCTCCCCTCTGGCAACCATCAAAATGTCCTCTGTGAGTCTATTTCTGTTTTATTTTGTTCTTTAGACTTTACATTTAAGTGAAATCATATGGCATTTATCTTTCCTTGTCTGACTTATTTCACTCAGCACAATACCATCTAGTTACCAGGGGTGTCCAACCTTTTAGTGTCTCTGGGCCACACTGGAAGAACAAGAGTTGTCTTGGGCCGCACATTAAATACATTGTGACACGTAATCACAAAAAAATCTCATAATGTTTTAAGTAAATTCACAGTTTTATGTTGGGCCGCATTCACAGCCATCCTGGGCTGCATGTTGGACATCCCTGCTAGGCCCATCCATATAGTTGTAAATGACAAGATTTCATTCTTTTTTATGGCTGAGTAATATTCTATTGTGTATATATGCCACATCTTCTTTATCCATTTGTCTATAGATGGGCACCTAGCTTGTTTCCGTATCTTGGCTATTGTAAATAATGCTGCAGTGAAAATATGGATGCATATATCTTTTTGATTTAGTGTTTTGAGTTTCTTTGGATAAATACCCAGAAGTGGAATTGCTGGGTCCTTCTTTGTCTCTTATTATAGCCTCTTTTTTAAAGTCTATTTTGTCTGGTATAAATATTGCTACCCCAGCTTTTTTTTCACTTCCATTTTCATGAGATACCTTTTTCCGTTTCTTTACTTTCAGTCTGTGTGTGTATGTTTCAATCTGAAGTGAGTCTCTTGTAGTCAGCATATGAATGGGTCTTGTTTTCTTATCCATTTAGCCATGCTGTTTCTTTTGATTAGAACACTTAATTCATTTACATTTAAAGTAATTGTTGATAGATATGTATTTATTGCAATTTTATTCATAGTTTCATCTTTTTTTTTCTTCTCCTTAAAAAAGACCTTTTAGCATTTCTTTTAATACTGGTGGTGATGATGAACTCCTTTAGCTTTTTCTTATCTGGGAAGCTCTTTATTTGTCCTTTAATTCTAAATGTTAGCCTTGCTGGGTAGAGTAATCTTGGTTGTAGATTCTTGCTTTTTGTCACTTTGAATAATTCATGTCAACCATTTCTGGCCTGCGAAGTTTCTGTTGAGAAATTATCCGACAGTCTTATGGGAGCTCCTTTGTAGGTAACTAACTGCTTTTCTCTTGCTGCTTTTAAGATTCCCTCTTTGTCTTTAACCTTTGGAATTTTAATTATGATGTGTCTTGGTGTGGACACCTTTGGGTTCATCTTGTTTGGGACTCACTACACTTCTGGGACTTGTATATCTATTTTTTTTTTTTTTTTGCCAAGTTAGGAAAGATTTTTGTCATTATTTTTTTTTTCCAAATAGGTTTTCAATTCTTTTCTCTCTCTCTCTCCTCCTTCTGGCACCCTCATGGTGGGACTGTTGGTACACTAGATTTTGTCCCAAAGGCCCCTTAAACAGTCCTCATTTTGGGGGGTTCTTTTTTTGCTGCTCTAATTGGGTGTTTTCTGCTACCTTATCATTCAAATTGCTGATTTGATCCTCTGCTTCATCTAATCTACTGTTGATTCCTTCTAGTGTATTCTTCATTTCAGTTATTGTATTCTTAATTTATGATTGATCCTTTTTTGTTTTTTTATCTTCATTTTTATGTTTCCTATCTCTTTGTCAAAGTTCTCACTGAAGTGATCTATTCTTCTAAGTTCATTGAGTATCCTTATAACCAGTGTTTTGAACTCTGCATCTGACAGATCGCTCGTCTAGTTCTTTTCAAGGACTTTTGTTCTGTTCTTTAATTTGGGGCATATTTTATTGTCTCTTCATTTTGTCTCCTCCCTGTGTTTGTTTCTATGTATTACATAAAGCTGCTGTATCTTCCAATCTTCATAGAGTGGCCTTAAGTAGTGGGAGTCCTGTGGGGCCCAGTGGCACAGCATTGCCAGCCACCTGAGCTAGGCACTCCAGCTGTGCCCCACATGTGGTCTTTGTGCATTTTCCTGTTGTAGTTGAGCCTTGATTACTGTTGGCATGTCAGTGGGAGGTATTAATCCCCAGGCTGATTGGCTGTGAGGACCATCTGTGACTACAGCAGAGGAGCTACTATGCAGGGCATCACCCCACAGAGCAGGACTTGCTTCAGTCCACTCCTTTAGAATGTCACTCATGGAAGTGGGTATGTGGTGCTCTGGCATGGTCTGAAGCTGTCCACTGGGTGTGCTGGCTGTGGGGCCTTCCCAGAGGTGCAGGCCAAGGTCAGCCACTGCCTATCCCCTGTCCAGGGCCACCTACCATGAACTACAAAGTGATATGCAGATAGTTGCCACTGTACTGGACTTAGAGGTGCCTAGGAGAGGCCAAGCTGAGAACTGAGGCCAGCTGCCATTAGTGCAGGACTTGGGGCTGCTTAGCAAGAGTTACGGGACACACCAAGGCCATATGCCACTTGTCTGTGGTTTCTGAACCTTTGAGAGATTTTAGGCAAGTCTGTAGCATGAGCCAAGACAAGCCTTTTGATGGAAAAGCCACTGGAAGGGGTTCAGATGGGCCCACAAGTTAGGTGGGGCAGGGTCTCTGGAAATCACCAGGTCAGGGTGAAGAGTGTCAGGTTGATGGAGACTCAGATATGGTGCCCACCTCTGCCTGCAGGGGAAGGGATCTGTAAAGGAACAATGGCACCTGCAAGCACTTCTGTCTGGGAGAAAGCTGCTCCTTCAGCCCTTGCCCTGAAGCCAAACAATTCAGTACCTCTTGTATATCCCTGGCACCTTTCTCTGGTGCCTTTCAAGCAAGCTGCTGCCCCAGCACTGGAGGGACCAGCCCATTCCATGTCTCTGCCCCTCCTACGAGTCTCAATATGGTTTCTTCTTTATATCCTTAGTTACAGGACTTCTGTTAAACTAGCCTTCAGGTGGTTCTCAATGATGGATGTTCTGTAGTTTAGTTGTAATTTTGATGTGGTTGTGGGAGGATGTGAGTACCACATTTATCTACTCCACCATCTTGACTGGGAAGCCCTCCTAAGAGTTTTATGTCCATAACCAGTCCAGTGGAAATATACAGGTGTTCTAAAAAGAGACTTGACAAGGTTGCTCTTTGGGCAGTGCAACGTGTGAGGAAAATAAAGCTGTTTTATAAACCTGGCAAGTGTGACTGGTTTCATCATTGTTTCTATGTAATTAAAAATCAAAACACTGGAGAAAAAGCAGAGGAAGCCGAGGCAATGTACAAGCAAATTATACATACCCCAACCGATGATGCAGAATTTAAGGATGTATTTTCGGATGTAAGTATTGAACACTTTGACAAGAGCCAGATACATATGGAATGCTTCTAGGCCCATCCATGTAAATGAGACCAAGAGAAAATAATGCAAAAATACAGCTGCTGAGATGCAGAGGGCTTGCATGTCATACAGAGCAACCCATGAATCCAAGAGAAAAACCAGATTCAGCAGGAGCAGAGCGGCACAAAGCTGGATGAGAATTTTGGAAGGGTAATCCCTCCGGATCTTTCTAAATGAAAAGGACAAGAAAAGAGTTAGCATCACATTCTCCTTACATGCCTATATGAGTTTTAAGCAATTCATTTTTATTCTTTGGTAAACATTTCCAGTAGTCCCCTCTTATCCACAGGGAATATGTTCTAAGACCCTCAGTGGAGGCTTGAAATTGGGGATAGTGCCAAACCCTATATATGCTATGTTTTTACCTGTACCTACACGCCTATGATAAAGTGTAATTTATATTTTATGTACAGTAAGAGATTAAAAAATAATAAAATAGAACAATTATAACAATATAGAAATAGAAGTTATGTGAGTGTGGTGTCTTTCTTTCTCCAGTAATTTTTATATTTTTCAGCTCAAGCCTATTCCTGGATCTGTGTAACCATCTCTTCTTGGTTTGGTGTCACTTGTTTCAGGGAATCCCCTGCAGAAGTCTTCATACAATAGGATCAGTGCCTCTGGTACAACATTTGCCATCAGTTGGAACACATTTTCTGTTCTTGTCTTCCACCCATGAATTTAATGCCTTTTCTGTCTTAACTAAGCATTTATCATGCACTTGTGGCTACACCTTTTGCAGTTTGAGGTGCATCAGCAACACTAGCACAAATTGCTTTTTTCTTCTTCATAATTTCACAGATAGGAGATGAGTTCTTACTGTAGACCTTAGCAACCTCAGCATATTATTTTTTTCTTGCCTTATTAAGTTGAAAACTTTTACCTTTTCACTTAAAGGAAACACTTTACAGCTTCTCTTTGACATATCTGAATTGCCAGCATCACTATTCTTGTGATTTGGAGCCATTATTAACATAATGGTTAGTTGAACACAAGCACGGTGATAACCAAGCAGGCTACTAAGTGACTAATGGGCAGGTCATGTAAACATCATGGATATACTGGACAAAGGGATGATTCATGTACTGGGTCGGATGGAGGAGTACAGTGTGAGATTTCATCATGCTACTTACTTAGAATGGTGTGCAAGTTAAAACTTATGAATTGTTTGTTTCTGGAATTTTCCATTTAATATTTTTGGACTAGAGTTGACCATAGGCAACTGAAGCTATGGAGAACCAAACCGTGGGTAAGGGGAGACTATTGGATATGTGTAAATGTCCTCTCTTTGAGCATGTGTGTATAGACATTAAAACCAACAAAAAAAGGAAAAAATCTAAACAGAATCATCAGAGGACTCATATGGAAAATTTGTCTTTGCATTTCTGTGGAACCTTTTACATGCTGACTGTTGACCCGTCCTTTTAAATAGTTTGTAGTGGTGTCTACTGAGCACCATCCCCTTTTCTTCTAAACTACTTCTAGAAGCATTGCTGCTGCTTCTCATACAACAGGCTCCTATATTCAGATCTTCAAAACATAGCCAGATTTCCCTGTTATCTTATGTTATTAGTTAAAATGAGATCATGGAAAGAAGAGTTTAAACTATAGCTAAATGAAACAGACGTAGGAAAATATAGCTAATTGATGACATGTACATGTTTATGTATGTGAAATTAGATCTGGTGAAATCATTCTGAGTAATGGCTGGCCTTATGGTAATTTAGTCTTGTTAATATTATTTTCCAAGTTCCACTGGAAGATCTGTAGTTACAGCTGGACCTTAAGTTTGGCATTCAAAGTAGATGTGTGCATTTCTTGATCAGAGTCCAAAATCTACATCTCAGAACTTACATATTGTTTCATTTAGTTTAGTTGCCTATTTTCTTTTTTTTCCATCAGAATTTGTTGGAATTCCCCCCAAAAAAGTGACTAAAGGGACCCTTTTGTAAGCCAAGAAGAAGATGCTGTAATTTGGAATGTCATTCTTTCTTTGACCTACAAAACTGCACTCACCAAGTATCTATTTTTCATTGAGGCTTTACATCCATTATTCTTCTTTAACCTACATGTGTTAATGTATTTAATCTTTTATGCTTGCTAGGTATAATTTAGAAACATATTAAACATAGCTCTTATGCTATACATAGATCTATGGTGTATTTCAAATTGTAAGCTGTTGGATTTCAGGGTCTTCATCCATCTTTCATTTCACACTTAATGTCAACTAAGTACCAGGCATCATTTTAGGGTATAAAAATGATTAAGACACAACACCTGTCTTCAGTGAGTGCATAGACTAATGGAAGGAATTGAGTATGTAAACCAAAAAGTTTCATGAAGTTTTACATAGAGATGGCTCCACTAGATGGGTGTGCAGGATAATATAGGCTGAGGAGCACATTTAATTAATACATTTTGGCAATGGAGGTGAGCATATCCTATAATCCAAATTTCCAGTTAGTTATGGATACTCACTCAAAGGCTATGTAGGTTACAAGAGTAACTGACAGAAAAATTGATGAAAGCCCACAACCAATATATGTGATAAACGTCAGAGCCATCATTTGAGCTGCTGGCAAGGATGTTCGTGATAGATCCTAGAAAATAAAATATTGTTTTCAAGACCATATATTTTAAAATAAATAAAAGAGTCATGGTTTACATTGATTGAGTGTTCTAAGTGCCCAACTCATTGAACAAACCAACAAGATAGCCATAATTATTATCATTAGGTAAAGATAATTAAATCGAGGCCCAGAGAGGTTAAGTAATTCGTCCTAGGTCATGGAGCTATGAAAGTGGAGGAGTCAGGAACCAAATTCAGTTCTGGCTGACTCCAAAGCCCATGTACTTGATCAGTGTGTTATGGTACACTGGAGAAGCACCAGGCTAGGAATCTCTAAAGACTTGAATTTGGCCTTTGGGTCTATATTTCTTAGTTCTATGATTGTGGACAATTAACTCACAAATAAGTCTTAATTCTCACTTCATTAAAATGACAAGAACAACTCTCCTTCCTACCTATCTTGCAGAACTGTTGGGGAGATTTAAATAAGATAATTTATCTAAATAAGATAATTTTAAAGTGTATTGTGAACTAAACAATTTATTGCCCATTTTAATCTGAATTCCCTAGTCCTCCTATCTATTTAAATGAGTAAAACGGAAATGTAAAAATAGAATGGGAAAGAATACTATTATGTTCAAATATTGTCCTTCAAGTGCATTTGCTTATTAGAAGGGTAATTTCATTGGTCTATAACTTTGCCACAATATCATATCTTCTGATCTATCAAAGTCATCCAGCAGATTAGACATCATGGTATGATGTCCAGCTACCCCTCAGACCCAGAATCTAAGGCCAGGTAGTATGGGGATGTTACCAGTAGGACGCCAAAGCTCGTAAGGTGGCTGCAGGTACAGATGGTTTCATTCAGCCTCCTGTGTTTGACGGAGCAGCCATCGGAAGACCAGCCTCCTCTGCCACCTGTTGGCATCGGGAAGAGTATCTATTTCATCAGCAAGGCCACAGTTCCAATAATTGCCCTTCCTCCGCTACGCCCCCTCTCCCACCTACTCAAGACTTTGAAAAAAGTATGACTGGAACCTACCGTTTCTGCCTAAGTCCCAAAATACGCATCTTACTGTTAAGTCATCCTGCAGTAGAAAGATACATCACAAATAATTAATTTATTAAACTGAAAAAACAAAAAAGCAATTAGAAAAAAACTCTTAATTTTTAGAGACTTCTTATTTTATACTGGTCCCTAGAAGCAACTGAGTCTTATATAGGTATTTCTTAAACTCAGCAATTTTGCATAGGAATCACCTTGAAGGCTTCTTAAAATGCACATTCTGATTCAGTGGGTCTGGGGGGGAGGCCTAAGAGTCTGCAGACCCCACTTTGAGTAGCAAGATCATAGATGATGCTCCATGTGAACTAATGTGAGAAATGTTTTCTCTTTGGAGGTGAGAACAGATTGAAATGCACTGAAATTCAGCAATTGATAAGAGCTTGCTTTTGCATTGCTCCTTCTTGGAAATTAGGTAGTCAGTCAGAGTGACTATATGACTCTAGTCTTACACACTGCCCTAACTGAGTCTTAAGGTTCCACTGGATTTCCTTTTTGCAAGCCAAATCTTCCAGGTATAGTTTGCACAAGGTGTTTCTGGCCAGTGAACAGTCCAGACAGGCCTTCCCCACCTGGCTTTGGTCGATGTGCTTTAATATAACTGTCACGTTTCTTGTCAAGTTCTTGACAGTCAGGTTTGCAACACTTGATGATATGACGTAGCTGATCAGAGAGAGGTTCTGCAGGGAAGGGTCCTAGTTCACCAAAGAATCAACAAGATGGCAAGGGAAAACAAAATGTTATTAGAGAATTGAAGAGTCCCTGAGGACTATTTAGTCCTCATATTTATTTTACAACCTAGGTGAGAAATTGAGGGTCAGGGAGTAAAGTGACTTTCCCAAGGACCATAATTAGAAGCAGAGCTTGTTGCACTATACGGTGCTCTAAGTACTGAGTTAAATTTCGCAAATTGACACAACAGGAACTTCATGAATCCTAAAGGGAACAACATTACACCATTTAATATATGTGCTGCCAAAGTGAGCATGACATTAAGCCATTTAAGCTGTGTGTCCTTGAGCAAGTTACTTAACCTCTCTGTGCCTCCATGTCCTCATCTGTAAAATGGGAATAATAATTTAATAGTTCCTTCCTCACAGAGTTGTTGAGAAGATTAGAGTTATTGTTTCTAAGTGCTTAGGATAGTGCTTGGTACTGGTAAACGTTGAGTATCAGCTATTGTTACATACCATCACTAACATCATTAGGTCCTGTTTAAAAATAAACTGCAGCTTTTCAGCAATTCTTTTAGCTTACGGCAGCCATAAGATATGTGAGGATTAAAAGAACCATAAGTCCCCCACTCCAAGTAAAACCTGAACAAAAGCAGTTAGTGGCAACTTTACCTGAAACAGGGCAGGTGTTTCAAAAAAGTTGAACTGTACCCTGGAAGCTAGCTGTACATCATTAGCTGGTAAATTACTCATCAGTGATGCGGGCAGAGAAATAATGCCAATACTATTCTCAGGAGCCTCAGTTTCCAGAGAAACCTGAAAATCAAGTAAAAGATATTTAAAACTGTCTTGGGCTACCATATGAGGAGTTAGAAAACACAACAATTAATTAAGATGGAGGATCATGTAGGGGCATTTATCTGTGGTGTGTTTATGTATAACCAGTTCATTTTGCTTCTCTGATGCTGCAAAATTAGAGGGGATGAGTAATAGGGAGAGGAGGCCTTGGAGCAGGAAAGAAAACATTTTAAGTATACACATAAACAGTCAGAAAGTGCAGGATATTATATGTCAATTATATCTCAATAAAGTTGAGGGCAGGGTGCAGGATAATTGCAGATCCCAGGGAGACCACGGCAGCAACACGCCACCTTGGGGACTTGTTAGGGCAAAGTATTCATAGGCCCACACGCACTAAATTGGTAAAGGGAAGACTATAAAATTAAGTTAAAAGGGAGGACTTGGTTTTACTTGGGTGTTTCCAGCCCTGAACCCCTCTAATAGGTGGACAGAAAACAACCAGCAAGCAGATAATCAGTACCACTATACATACACACTAGTATAGTAATAAAACTTGTTAAAATAATGGAATGGGTTGATAAGTAGCTGATGTTCTTGTTATTTCTCTACTACCTAAATCCCTCTGCTGGACACTTCTCCCAATTTACCCCCCAAACTTCCACAATCCAGCTGCTAAAGGGTTAACACTGGGCCACAGCAAAGGCCTCTGAGATCCTGCTCCAGCCAACACCAATGTCCTTTTTTTTTTCATTCTGTGGTGCCTCATTGTTCTAGATATTAAATATTTTGAATATCACCCCTGATTACAAGCAGTAATTGCCTCAAAACTCATATACATATAACATATACAAGACTCTCTCATATATCATGTGATGTAAGATATGATATATCATATACAAGAAAAGGCTGTTTCCACACTAAAATAGAATGTACCTGAAGATTTGTAGGGTCTTGGGCAGCGAAGGTAGTTGTGTTGAAATTACTGGAATTCACTCTGATCACAGCCAGAGCCAAAGAAGGGGAGGTTAGACTTATGGTCTTGGTTGAAAAATTCAGCTGTAAGCCAATGTCATCCACTACTTTTAGCAATCTGTAAAGATAAGTGGCAGTTCAAATTCAGCTCTCCCACTTTGTTTTCCCTGTTCTAAGCACAAAACAGAGTAGCAACTTAACAAGTCATTATGAAACTCATAGTGGGAGAAAAATACTTGGCTATAATTATGTTAGAAGCATTGTTATCACTGTAGGGTCAGTTGGCTAAGTCATACCTTTGGGCCAGAGGAGCCAGCAAGGCAGGTGGGGAACGGAGGAGTTTGCTGACTTGGTTTATCATTTCTCCTGCAATATTGGGCTCCAAGCTGCCTAAGGACAGCACTTTCTCCATCTGAGACACTTGGCTCTCAAGATCAGAAACACTGATGCTGCTGGTGTGAACAAGTTCTACAACAGAGAGCCAGATCACTTTAGGAACACATAATGAAAAAATCACTAATACAGAAACATAGACTCTGTGATCTGGCAAACCCACTCCTAGGTATTTGCCCCAGGAAAATGAAAACATTCTTAAGAAGACTTGTTCATGAATGTTTATAGCAGCTTTTTTCCTGGTAGTCCCAAACTGGAAACAACCCAAATGTCCATCAACTTCAGAAGAGATAAACTATGGCCCATCTGTACAATGGACTATATTATTCAGTAATAAAAAAGGATGCGCTACTAATACATGCAACAACATGGATGGATCCCCAGTTCTCCAATGTATTATGTTAAGTGAGAAAAGCCAGACTCAAAAGGCTACATACTGTATGATTCTCTTCATATGACATTCTAGAAAAACCAAAAGTATAGTATAGGGAAACAAAACAGATCATTGCTGGCCAGGGGCTGGGCATAGTGGGTAGGGGTTGATGACAAAGGGTTATGAGGGAGCTCTAGGGGTAGTGGAAATGTTATGCATAGTGATGGTGGTTATATGACTGTGGGTGTTTAGTCAACCTCATAGAACTATAAAATTTTCATTCACCCATTAGAACTGTATGGATTTTACTGCATGTAAATTATACTTCAAAAAACCTAACTTAAAAAATGTAAAAGCACATCAGTACACTTAGTGTATATTCGAACAAGCATAAATATACTTGTATTTAGTTTTTATCATGCATACAGGATTTTATATGGGTAACTAGAAGTGCTTTTTGTGAAAAAGAGATTATGAAATTAATAGCTGAACTACCAGCTATAAGCCTGAGTTTTAGTAATAAAAAAAAGATTTTATGTATTTATTTTAGAGAGATGGGAAGGGAGGAAGAAAGGAAGGGAGAGAATGCATCCATCAATTGCCTCTCACACATCCCCAACTGGAAACCTGGCCCACAACCCAGGCATATGCCCTGACCGGGAATTGAACCAGCGACCTTTTGGTTCACAGGCTGGCACTCAATCCACTGAGCCACACTAGTCAGGGCTTTAGTAGTGTTTTAAATTGGGAAACAATGATGAAAAAACTAACAACAAAAAGGTCTCTTAATTTGACCACTTAACATCCTATTTCTTATTTTGCACATTATTTTCTAATCTTTATCCATGTGTTAGACATATCCATGTGTTATCCATGTGTATAAACATAGTGTGCAAACTACTTATTGTTATTTTCATTTCACTCAAGACTTGAAAACTGCCCCCAAGCTTCTGTCTAGCTGTTCTTATGCACAGTTGTGTAAAAGTCATTGTGTTATGACAGTCACTGTGAGAATATCATATTTCAACATTCCACTCCTATAGAACTGTTTAGTTATACCCACTTTTTAGCTACCAGGTAATAACCCAACACATCTTTTATACATATGTCACTTTGCTTCTGTTGTCTCATTGCCTGAAACCCAAGCCTTGGGGGCAGAAGCGCAGATGCAAGAGGCTACCTTGCTGGCCCTTCTGTGTAGCCTGTTAGGTTGATTGTAAGGGTCAATGGGGTTAGCTTTGTAAAGGTGGGCATTTTAGGCTCAGGCTAATGAATTTCAGTTTTACTTTATTCTTCATCAGTCTGTAAACCTTCCCTTGACTAGAGCCCCCCTGATTTTATAATTTGGCCTAAAATTTCCATATTTATTTTAAAAATTACTTAAGAGAGAGCAGTGCAAATATGAAGAAATATCAAGTCATTTGGCAGAAGTTCTAAATCTCCTGGGGATGCTGGCACTATGGTAGAAGAGATGGGACCACAACCTGAGCTCCAATCTCATGTCACCAAGAATTTGGCTTTGCCTCAAATGATCTAAATTCTAGAGGAAGACCTGCTTCTCACTCACTGAATTGGAACTCTGGAGAGTATCCAGATTCTTTCTGCTTCCTTCCTTCCTTCTTCCCTTTATTCTTTACCCCTAAACCTACTTTGTTTCTGGGGAGCCCTTTGCAGTTTCCATGGCATTCTCATGTATGCCATTGTTCTTAACCAAGTGCTGGTAGTATGATTATGTTCATCTTCAAGTAGAGCAGGCTGAGTAAGGAGCTAAATGGCTTATCCCAGATCCCAGTGCCTGTGAGGGCCCATGCAGAGCCATGCCTAGGTATTCTGAATGTTTCTCCTCTCCTCATGGCTACGTTGGCTCAAGTCCCAGCTCTGTCACTCTGTGACTGATTTTCAAGAACACCAGTTTGTTTGTTTTTTAAATTTGTCTTCTAATTGGAGTTACTGTGTTTAGCAGTTAAAAAGTTTTTTCTTTGGTATGTTGAAAACAGTGACCCCAAAACCTTTTGTAGGAGAAGGAAACCTTTAAATAACTCATCTCAATAAAATGAGATCTGTGCTTGCCTCAGAGCTGTTTCTCTATTCTTGGTCAAAACAATTACACTCAAATGCCTGAAAGAAAGCTCTTGAAATAAGCAGAAATTATAAAAAGAAAAGACTCAATATGATCTTTTACAGATATCTTGATTTGGCAAGCTGGCAGCTGCATTTCGGGTAGCAGAGTTACAGCAAACATGGGAGCAGCTTGGCTCCTTGTATTTACCTGTCTTGTCAGGAGATGTACTGGTCCGGATGACATCCACAGGGGCAGATGTGGTGGGAGAGCGAAGTGAGGACTTCACAGGTGGCAGGGAAGTACCAGTTTGCAGACTAGGGGAAGAGATAGTTCCGGATTGGAGGAGTGTATCAATGGTAGGGCTATAACCTTTGGGAGCTGAAGGCCGGAGAGAAGGAGGGTGGATCACCCCTGTTGAGTTCTGGGTGGCAACAGATGGATGATATTGGGACTCAGATAAGGAGGAGGCACTGGAGACCCGAGAAAGAGTGGTGGCCTGAGGAGTAACTTGGACGGAATTGCCAGAAGAAGGAACTGGTGGGTCACGTGGATAACCATCAGCAAGACACATAATTGGATCCTGCAAGTCACTAAAGGAAAGAATCAGAGAGGTGCACATGAGACACAAATGAGTTACAGAGAGGTGAATCTCCTCCTCTGGCAACCATCTGACACCACCTGGAAGCTCAGGCTACACCCCCAGACCAGTGATATCACCATCTCTAAGGGTGAGAGGCACAGTGTTTTAAAAACTCCCCAGATGATCCCAATGTGCAGCCAGGCCTTAGAACCACTGCTCTATGGTCTGGACCCCTGTTACTTGAACTGGAATCCAGGAACCAGCAGCATTGGCTTCACTGGGGAGCCTCTTAGAAATGCAGAATCCAGTCCCTGCCCAGACCTTACTGGATCAGAATATGCATTTTAAACATGATCCTCATTGATTAACATTTGCAGTAACACTTGAGAAGTGCTGAAATTGAAAGGCTGTATTCATTGTTAAAATGCAAAAATTCCTTAGTCAACATGGTGATTAAATGTTAATAGTTTTTTAGGAAAAGGGTCAGCATGTTTGCTACATACCACTGCAGTTTTTCTAATTCTTCTGGGGAGGAAGGGCAGGATATTCTGACAGAACAGCAGCACTGTTCTGGAGGAGACAAAAGGAAAGAAAGAACAAAATGCATGGTTAAGAATAAGGCAAGATAGGAGCTCAGATCCATCAAGTATTATGATTCTTACACTGACTTCATTTTAAAGAGCATTTGTCTAAGACAGGTGATAAAGTAAATTCGATGCCATTATGTTGACACTTACATATACATAATAGGTGCTCAAAAATATTTAGTGAATACTTTGGGTGGGGGGGGTTATATGCACACAATATCAATTGCCCTTCAGCAACTTCTGAATTCCCAGCAGCAAGTGATTGAACTCTCCAGATAGATCTCTGTTTCTTAACAGGGTTTTACCATGTTTTCAAACACAGTATACTGAAATTTTATTAAGGAAGCAGGAAAAATCACCTTTTAGAACTTTCTAAAAATTGCCCAAGGTCAAAAGAGCCAAAACAGAAAGCTGTAACATACATAAATTTATTAATTACATTTTCAGTTTTAAAAAAGAACACATCAAAGACATGTGAAAATGAATACAGCAATAAAGAGAACTTACCCAACGGGTGAATCTTTCCTCTTTCCAAAGCCACCATTGCGGCACATATGTTCATTGTCTTATTCAGTTTTATTGTGAATGTACAATTTAATGTGCTATAAAGAGAAATATATACAACCAGAGTGTTACTAAACTGAAAACTTATCTACATATTTGTAATTGCTTTGTCAAACTTAGAGTGAGGAAAGGAGATAATGACACTGTTAACTTGCAGTTTCACTCTATAAGCTTGTAAACACCCGCCCTTACCATGGTCTGAACTTAATCCAAAAGACTTTATAGAACAAGAAATTTATAGAGGTTTACATTCACAGAGGTTGCAAACCAGAGACCCTCTGACCACACAAGGCTGCTGATTCATTTTGCCTGTCTGCACAATGAACAGGTAGGGGTGAAACTTGACTGCAAAGATAAGCATCTTGACATCTAGAATCTTACCCCCAGCTGGCTATTTGCCTGGCATCTGTAGGCATTTGAGTTTCCATTATAGGAGCCCTTTCAAATACTAGCCTAGATGAATATCAAGGTCTCTTAAACCCAAAGTGTCTCTGGCAATCCAATCTAGATTACCAGGCAACTAGGAATTTAAGACATTCTGTTTCTTTCTACTTTAGTCTTGGTGCAAAAATATTAATATCACAAAGAACAAAAAGAAATAAGTGAAATGAATTTACAGTGGATAGGGATTTGATGTACAATTTCATAGAAGACTTGCCATTATTTGTACCAATGAACAGTTTGATGAGTAGAAACTGTCATGTTAGGACTTTTACTTTCACAGAATGCTCAAGGTTCAGGTAGTGAGATTATTGAACTATAAACCATTGGCTTATGCAGCCCAGACAACCAATGGACACAATTTAAGATGATAATCTGTGCAACCTCAAATAATTGTTGGGCAATCTCTGATTCACCTTTGCATGCACTTTTTCATTTCTCTTTCTTTCCAATCTTTTCCTTCCCTCTCCTTCTCCCATGTTCCAAATTGTGTTCCTTGTTTGCTGTCTTTCACTCTGACTGGACCACTGCAAGCCATTTCTTGGTCATATTAGTGGCCATTGGGGCTAAGGACATGGTCCTTAGCCTCATAGAACCAGAAGCCAGCAACCTGACACCACCCACCTCTCTGTGCTTCATAAAGAAATGAGAAGATGGTTGTGATAGATTGATGACTGTTTGGAAGAATAAAAATTCATATATCCAAAATATCATTAATATGTATTTATTTCAGAAGAATGCCTTTGACTTTGCAAAGACTCCTTAATACCTTTATTTCTCGTAAGTAGAGAAATAATATTTATAAAAGTATTAAAAATAACTGACCTTTGAGCCTCTTCTGTAGCACACACTATAAAATAAGTCTGAAACAAACAAAGTATACAAATATACATGTTACTTTGACAGTTGGAAGTATCAGACAAGACAACCTGGACTAATCACAGCATCACTGAATCTTAGAGCCACAAGGAAGATACAATTCACATTCCTACCAGATTCCTGACATATGATCAAAGCTATTCAGGTCATACAGGCTCTGCTTATAAATACCGCTAGTGTCATGGAGCTCACTATCATGCAAGAGAGCTCATTTTCCTGGGGCCCTTGTTTTAAGAAACTAAGTTTTACATGAAGAAAAACCTACCTCCTTGTAACATCCATCCACTATGCCTAGTTTTGATTTTTGGAATAATGGAACTAGTCCACTCACTCTTTTACATGACAGATTTAGGGGAATTTGAATACATATCTCCCCAGGAATGCAGAACTCCATGCTTTCCCCAAAACAACAATTATAAACAAGGTACAGTGTGTACTATAATTACCTCACTTAGGGTTTGCAGGGTTTTGTTGAGCTCTGTTCGTCTGTTAATAAAATTAGAGAAATTGACATAAAGGAGACCATTAGTGATGTTAAATTCAAAACAAGTTAGATTTTTAGCAAATACATTAGGCATATAGTATTTATTGCTTGCAGTGTTCACTTTGAAGAAACACTGGGCATAATAAGAGATTCCTACGTAATCTTCTTTAGTGGGAAACACTAAATTACTTATATGACAAGGGAAACTAACCAGACAGAAACTGTATTGGTACTAGCTAACAGTTGCAATATAGAAATAATGGTTGAACAATCACATTATTCATTAGGCTACTGCAACTCCAAGGCAGCTTTGGGCAGAGGGCCAAAGGAAGAGCTGGCTGGCCCAAGGTAAAATTTCTGAGACGGGCCAGCCACTCACCCTGGAGGCCCTGGGCCTCTGATTTCTTCTTCATTCCCTCTCCAACTGACCCTGCCTGCCCTCTAGCACTCTCCAGCCTTGCCTTCCCCTTCTCACAGCTCCTCTTTAGGAATTTCCCTCATTCCTCTCTAATTCCACTCCAACAACACTTTTATTTCTTTAATGTGGCAGAGCTTCATGTGAGGTTAAGATGAAAGAAATCTAGTTTAAAAATTCACTCTAAGGCAGTGGTTCTCAGCCTGTGTTGACTCTGCCTCCCAGGGGACATCTGGCAATATCTAGAAACACTTTTTTCTTGTTGCAATTGGGGGTGGGGTGCTTCTGACATCTAGTGGGTGGAGACCAGGGATTTGTTACACATCCTCCAATGTACAGGACAATCCCACATAACATGGAACTATTAGGCCCAAAATGTCAGTAGTGCTAAGATGAAGAAATTGTGCTCCAAGGAATTGGCAATAGTTCTAGGTGGCTCCAGGGAAGGTCTGGAGGTAAGAAGGGAAGGATAGTGGCAATCGCAGTCAGTTAGCTTTTTGAGCTGGCAAGAGCCTCTCCTTCATAACTGTGCTCAGAGGCAACCTTCCTTCTGGGGGTTTCCCTGGCCACTCCAGTCATGCCCAATCTGCTCTATATTCAGATACTTAGAACATCCTTTGGTGCCCTATACATGTCACCTTCATCGAAGGGATCACACTGTTGTGTTATCATTGGTTCCCATCCTGCATCTTTCCTACCAGACTCTGGACTCCCTCAAATGGCCTCATGCTGGAACCACCAGGGGAGCACTCATGAATGCTCATGCCTGCCTCTCAGCCCCCAAATACTGGTTTAATTGGTATGGAGTGTGCCTGGGCCTCAGTGTTTTTAAAAGTTCCCAAGTGACTTTAATATGCAGCCTAGTTTTCCATTTCAGAGAGTTGAGCTGATTGCCATTTGTATCCTCAAAGCCCAGCATATAGTAGCTACTTCACAAATGCTTGGCGGCTTTAAATGAACTAATCTCTATTTCAAGTCTAGTAATTAAGATGAATTACAAGTATGCTAAGTTATATTTCTATTTATAAATGTGTGAGTTTAAAAAATGTTTCCTATTACTATTATTGCTCATCTAAAGTTTAAAACCCTTCTAGGACATTGATTATTTCACAAACATACTTTGAATAGTTAGAAAAGCTAGGTTTTTATCAGAAGGTGAGAAAAAACAGGCATATAAAGGATATGAACTACACCCCAGCCCATTCCCGTTCTCACTATAACTTTTTGCCACTATAAACTCAGAAGAGCCTTAGGGATATTTGATATCCACCAGGTGGAATCATGAATGACAGTCTTTTACATCTAGGGTGTTCAGCCTTTTGTCATCTTTGGGCCACAGTGGAAGAAGAAGAGTTGTCTTAGGCCACACCTTAAGTACACAAACACTAACAAAAACAAAAAAAACCTCATAATTTTCTAAGAAAATTTATGATTTTGTGGTGGGCCACTTTCATAGCCGTTCTGGGCCACATGTGGCCTGCAGGCTGTGGGTTGGACACCCCTGAGTCCTAGGCCTTGCTGAATCATCAGAAGTGGCCAGGTCACAATGCTAATTAAAGGATGAGCCTTAAGAACAGTTTTGTTTTCTTTGACCTAGGAAAGATTTTTCTCTTCAGTGTCATCAGAGTTACTCCCCAGAGCTTTTGAATTTGGTTGAAAGTTTATAAAAACTTCATTTGAGAGGTAGTCTGAAGGTTAAAAGTAGATGAATTTCATCTCTGATGTTACTTCTCTGCCATGAGGGCAAAGACATGAAGTTGCCCCTCCAAGTGGAGAGGGTAAGGCTGTCCTGGCTTAGGCCAACTTGCTCGCCCACAGTTCGACCTATTGTCTAACTGGGGACATCTATTTGTAAACTGAGGTCTACGTGACAAACACCTCTCTGTGGCTTTTCAATCACTGATGCTTCGTGAAAGCATGAAAAAATGGTATACATGAAGTCTTAAACTGTTCTTTCAGCCTTGCTGGTTACCAAATCATATCACTCAAATACCAATTCAAATGGAGGTAATTTCTTATCATCAACAAGAACGGCCTCACAAGGATATTAATTGATGACAGGTGATTATGGTTATAGTTTGCAAAGAACTCAAGAGCCACTTCTCTATGACCTTTAGGTCTTTTTTCTATTCTGTTTCCAAAAGCAAAGATCGCTCATCAAGTATCTTTTCATAGTTGATCTTAAGTTTTAAATGAAACAATAGATTACTCACTTCAATTCACTTAGAGACAGGACTCCAGTTAAGGTGCCATTAGCCATATTTTGATTCTGTTAGGAGCACAAAATCATTAAGAATACAGCAAATATTGGTTTTTTAAACACTCTCTAACAAGAATTTGTTCTTTAGTTTTCTTCAGCCACCTAAAGAACTACACCAAAAAGACTGAATACTAACTGCAAATGATCAAATCCACATAGACTGAGCCAGTTTTTGTTTTCTTTTATCAACGAGTGTGATGTGCTAATTTCTGTCTTTTGTTATTACCCCAAAAGAAGACTATTAAAGCTCTCTACATGAAAGGTCCCAGATTTAAGTAAAAGATCTCAATGTAAAAAGGGAAACTTGATAGCAGGCATCACTACATTTCTAGAACCTAGCTCATTACCTGGCACAGGGTAGGTACTCAGGAATATTCACTGAATGAACAGACCACGTGTAGCTAGGAGCCTCTGAACCAACCTATGTTATGGAAGGCTGATACTACTGTATCCGAATCCCCAGTAGGGCAAATAAGATCAGTATCAGAAGACTGATTCAATATATATTATATATCTTCTTAAGAGGAGTTTCTAATATAATTTTACATTTTGACTGGTAAAAGAATTACATCATATAAACATTCAGCAGCAAACCTAGTGAAAACTAAAATATAATTATTAATAAAATACCATAATTATTATGAAGTCAAGCCCTCTTAGCTAGGGATTCAACAACTAAATTTATTTAAATTTGGTCATCAAAAATAAATATGCCAAATATTATAAATATGAGCCTTAAACAAATCCTTAAATACATGTGAATTCATTTTTTATGATTGTAATAAGAAAAATCTTTAAAACCTACCTGAGTAACATTGCTTTCTTCGTCATATTGAAACATTATCTCACCTCTAAAAAATGCTAAAAATAAATTTTTATAAAGAAAATTGAGACTTGCATCCATAGAGGTCAAGTATTAATATAACAGAAAAAGATTATCAAATTGCTTTATAAACAAAGTTTCATAAAATGCTTTGCTGTTATTCACATTTACTCTCTTTTCTATCAGAAAGTTAATATAATTTTCAGAAAACATGAACTATAAATTTTATGTAGGAATACATAAAGAGGGGACACTTGTTCGCTTGTCAGGAAGTTTTACCCCAGCCTGCCTGAATCCCAGTGCCCAGCGTGTCCTGGGGACGGTCTGGCAGTACCCGTGATAGTGCATAAAGCCGCACCGCTGGCCACTTCCCGGACTGCTCCTTGGTGCACCACCATCGCAGGCCTGCCTCGCCCCTGCAACCCTCATCCTTGCAGTCACCACCTCTGTTGCCTCTGCCCCCAATCCTGTTCCCTTCAGGTGCGGAGTCCCGGGAGCACTGCGTGGGCACCAGGCACGCAGACATGGGCAGCTGCGCCAGAGCCCATGGGACTGCTATGGCGCTGACCTTCACCAGGCTGCTTTGTGCCATGCTGGGTACCATTATGACTGTACAGGTGCCCTCCATCATCAAACAGTAGGTCCACAAGAATGTGCACATCGACCCCAGTAGCCTGTCCTTTCGCAAATGGAAGGAGATCCCAGTCCCCTTTCCACCTCTCCATCTACTTCTTCGACGTCCTCAACCACAATGAGATCCTCCAGGAAAAGAAGCCACAGGTGTGGGAGCACAGGCCCTACATGTACAGTGAATTCCGGCACGAGGGCAACATCACCTTCAATGACAATGACACAGTGTCTTTCCCCAAGTACTGCAACTTCCAATTCCAGTGACAAACCCAGTGGCTCGGAGAGCGACTGCATCACCACACCCAATAACCTGGTCCTGAATGTAGGAGCAATGATGCCAACCCCATCCTGGCAGAGGCAGTGCTGGGCCTCCACCTCAACAAGAAAGAACATGCCCTATTCCTGGACATCCACCCAGTCACAAGAATCCCCGTAAACTGCTCTTTGAAGCTGCAACTCAACCTCTCATCATGACTGTCAAAGGCATCTGACAAACCCCAAAAATAGAGCCAGTGGTCCTGTCGCTGATGTGGTTTGTGGAGGAGAAATGCTATTTATTTTGGAGTAGTAAAAAGGGGTCAAGGGATGAGGAGGCCATGCAGACCTATTCTGAATGCCTAATAATGTCAGTTCCCAAGGGGACTGTTCTACATGAAGCCAGACTGTAGGGTCCCGGAGATGTTGAGAGCCAGCCTAGCCCAGCTGCTCAGCCAGACCGGCTCCCTAGCCCTATACCTTGCTTCTTCAGGACCTCCTCAGCAGATGGCCAGCCAGTCCCAAAGTCTGAGCCTCCCAGTTGCCACACACGTGTCTGCGCATTGTACAACCCCCAACATGTATATGCATATGCATGTACAGACACACTAGGGGATGCAGATGCTGCTAAGAGGACTCAAGGAGGGGCTTACCTACAGAGATTGTTCAGGAACCTTCTCTCCAAGGCACCCACAGGTGCTGTGAGCACTGGGTCCTTTCCCTGGAGTGAGCCCATTCAAAATTGGGCCACCTCCCCCCGTTGCCCTCTCCATCAGTCTGGAAACACTGCAGCCCCCACACGGTAGCTCACCCAGCAGGGCCGGGCTTTCAATCCAAGGGGCTGGCCACTGTCCTGAAACCCAGCCCAGGACTGCAGACTTATTATGCCCAAGCCAGGGGGGCAGGGGGTTGTAAGGTCAGGGCCCAGCTGCGACCCAGAGCTTTGCCCTCACTGCACCCATCTGGGCTAGGGGGACAACCACTTCACACAGACCTCAGAAACCAGGGCGAGTGAGAGATGCCCTGTATGGCTGTCCTGTCTCCTCACCCCCTATAGGACTTTGGTCTCTCTGAAGTCTACACAGGCACTGGATTTGGGTGCCTGGGGGCCCTTTCCTCCAGCTAAACTGACACCATCCTGTATGTGAGTCGGCCACTCCCTGGTTAGTGTGGCAGGAGACTCTGCCCCGAGCCACCCCCCATAACAGCCCTCATCTTTTAGGTGCTGGGCCAGAGGTGGAGAGGTCTGGGCCCTGTCAGCCTGGGTGTCTGGCCAGGTGGGAGACCTGTCTACCTGCAGCTTTTGGTCTCTGGGGTAAGCCTCTGTCTCTTTTCTACTGGAAGAATAAATGAGTTTTATCATCTTTTTAAAAATAATTCACCACTGAAGTAATAAACCTTTTTAAAAAATGACAAATACCATATGATCTCACCTGTAAGAGGAATCTAATGAACAAAATAAACTAATGAACAAAATAGAAGCACAGGCTCGGAAACATGTAACAGACTGACAGTGACCAGAGGGAAGGTGGGGAATAACAGTGGAAAGAAGGGGAAGGAACCAGCCAGAGAACATGTATGAATGACCCATGGCCGTGGACCCATGGCTAGTGACTGAGGGAGTGGGGGATGGGATGGGCAGAGGAGGGCCAAGGGGAAAGAACTGGGACATCTGTAACGGAATAACAATTTTTACAAAAAGTGAAAAAAAATTTGTCTCTATATTCTTCTTATCAAAACTTTATTTCCTTTAAAGATGCTAAAGGGAGGAACCATGACTCTAAAGTTAATGTTTGTAAAAAATATTTTAAAGTTGTTATAGTTGCAGTTGCATAGATAAAGGAGGAAGGGAAAGTGTTTCTCATAAGTTTAGCAGCCTCATGGGATTCCATTTATTCCTTGCTTGTGTTTTGTTTTTTCTCTTTTTAAAAATACAGCTATCAAATTAAGTATCTTTCCCAGGAACAAAGTTGAGATTTTGCTTTGAAACCGAAATAGAGTGCAAGGCAAATTGTTTTTTTCAGTTGAACTCATTGGGATTCTCATTCCAGAAATGCTAGAAAACCCTGTTCTTAAAATGCTTACTTTGGGTAACTTGAAGTAAATTTCAGTCATCTTATTTCTTGTAGGATATACTTGGAGGGGCTATGACTCTATCTGGAAACAAATAAAATAGAGACCCCTTAACAGAAGTACATTGTGTGTACTTCATAATCTAAAGACCAAAACCAGGCCTCTTGAGCAAAAGGACAAGGATTTCGTATAAACTGGAGCTCAGCTCATTAAACTTATTTTTGTGAAGTATCAGACAGCTAGTAAGTATTTGAGATTTTGTGGGTCATATGGTTTTTGCTGAAACTATTCAGCTTTGCAGTCATAGTGCAAAAGCAGCTACAGACAATATGCAAATGAACAGGCATGGCTGTGTGCCAATAAAACTTTACTTACAAAAACAGGTAGCAAGATATATTTGGACTATGGGCAGTAGTTTGCCAAGCAAGAGGGTCGAAGGCCTCTTCATCTTCTTTTATTGTATCCCAAATTACAATTGATTCCCATAGCCCAGTTCCCAATGGTCCACTTCCACTTAAAACAGCCAACAAAGCCACTAGACCAGAGATTAACATGATTTATCTATTTCAACAGTTTTGCTACTGAGAACTTCAACTCTGCATATTGAAATTGAAATTCCAATTCATACAGCACATAAGTATTAAAAGTAAAAAGATTCTTGATATATGCAAAGACTTTTCCATTTTTGAAAAGAAAGGTTATATAAACTAATTTAGCATGTGTGTATGTGTCGACACCCACAATTTCTGTCCCTCACCTCTCTATTCTCCAAGTTCATCTATCAGTCTTGTTGAGGACATGCTGAGTTTTATAAATGTGCTGGCAGCACAGTGGTAGCAGAGCAACCAGGAAGCCATGAACTTTTGACCCTCAGCCTAACTGCGACTGGTAAGGTCCCAGTTTCTTCACTAGCCTCCGTTTCCCTTAATGAACCCACATTGGAACCTGCAAGAAGTGAAGGTTTCTAGTTTCTGGCAGGATTTCATGGTATTTCTGGTGCCAAAAGAGTTGGTCCCCTGATGAGGTTGTTTTCAACAGACACTAAGACAAATGGTCAATTCAGTCATTTAATTAGGGAAAACATTACTCCAACCAGCCTTCTGACATCTGTTATTCAAGATGACCAGTTTTTTTGACTAAATGTTCAACTTTCAAACAGTTATCAAACATCATGTAGACACAACACTAAAGTAGACATTAGTCACCAGTCCAAACATAGATGAAGCACAAAAATAATGAAATTATGGAGAATTCAGTAAAAAAGAGGAGGGGGGAAGGAGGAGAAGAGAGAATTACACAATATATGAAAGTGAAATGTATCCAACAGGTTTTTTTTTTCTTGAATCAAAACCAGATAATATTTTCCTGCTATATTCTACCTGGAGCAGAAAGCTCATATAAGCAAATCTCCCATGCAGGCAAAAAGAAAGTGTCTGTGGAACATTCTTTCAATAGAAAGTTTTCTAAACTATGCAATCTTAACTTGTTTTACTTGCAGTTTTTTCTAACATTTTTCTTTTCTTTTTTTTTTTACATTTTCAAATGCACATTAATTCCATTTACTGAATGATGCTCTGTTTTTCAAACAAATGATTAAACTGTTAAAGGGAACAGAATAAAAGGAAAATATTCCTATGAGTGTTTCTTTTTATATCAATGGGGTCATACTAAGACTTTAATATTATAAAATATTTCATTACCTTCCTTGTCTCTCTTCCCATGATCCAATTCTGACCTGCCACATCATGTTTTTCTGTTTTCACATTGGCTTTCATTGGTTTCAACAAGGACGGGAGCCCAGAGAGGGAAACCAATGTGAGAAAAGTGGTTAGTTATTTCATTCCTTTTGGCCCATGGCAGGAGGGAAAATATTCTCATTTCAAAAATAGCATGTTCTCAAGAGATTTCCATCTCAATTTTTAAAATTAGTGGGCAGTCTTAACTAGAGATGGCAAAATACACTATGGGCACTCCTGGAATTAGCACCCGATTAACTAGGTGTACGTGAGGTTTGCAACATTCTAGTAGAGTGGTTTGTTTTATTTTTAGCAAAAGACAATATCCTGTTTCTAAGCTATAATAATACTTAAGGTTCTATGGAAAAGCTTGAGGGGTTGGTATACAAGAAGTGGCTTTCCATAATTAAGTTCATTATTAATGATGTTCATGAATCAGCTCTAAGGGTATTAGTTATGAACTTGAAGCTATGATGAAAAATACCTGGTGTAGAGCTTCATGTTCTCAAATTAAAGACGCTCATCCATCATTTCACTAGGCAATGGGAAGATAATTTTAGCCAGATCTAAAATTTGCTTTTGTTTTAATTTGGGACTCATAGTAGTCAGGCAGTATGAAAGGAGACAGAACAAAGAGGCACACAGCACACACTGAAGAGGAGAAAGACCATTTTTTTTCCTCTATGAGGCTAATTTATCTAGTAACATATAATGTGCATAAGAACTAACCTGAGTCATTGCAAATAGATGACAAATTGCAGATATTTCTCTGGGGTTTGACTCCTGCAAAGAAAACACAACCCAGCTGGTTAAGCATGTCAACACTTTCACTTGTATACTACATTGTCAAGAGAATTAATAAATTTAGGCATTAAACGTGGATCAAAAATATAAGTTGGATATAATTAGTTGGGTGAATTCCACAAAGACTAAAGGAATGAGTTTTCATTTCTTAGCTGCTTAGCTATGGAACTTGATTCTTTACTATTCTTTAGTATATCAGTGTCTGGTCCCCTACTCCTTCCTAAAATTCCTTGTCCTATTCCCACCCAATTAATCCTTTTTCTGTCTGATACCAACGGAACAGTGTGAGTACAAATCAAGCATAGAGACTTTAAATGAAATAGCCTTTACTTTTAGACTCTCCTTTCTTTCTGGGTAGGGGAACACATGAACACTCTAATGCTGGTCTCAGCTCCTTATGCAAATGTATGTATGAAATAACATCAATGTTATGATATTATTTCACATGAGCAAAACCTACAAAATTCAAAAAAATATTTGCTGAGTTGCCTACCATATTCTACAGGTTTTGCAAGGCTCCAAATATAGGCCCTGCCCTCAACAACCTTACAATCTAATGAGTGATACTAGCCAGTAAAAAAGTTATAGTGAGGGCAAAATGGAGGGATGGCCGGGACAACAGACCACACAGGCATACACAGGAAGCAGAGATAAGTGGGAGACGAAATAAGCCACATTAGAACAAAAAACTTTATATATGTTAACTGGAGAAAGACTTTCACCAAAGGTAAAAGGGGAAATACATCTCTTCTTTGATTTGAAAAGAGTTTAAGGTTTACTCTAAGAATCTTTCCTTCATTAATTTCATCCTTTTGGCGGAGTATAAGAAAACTGTAGTAAATGTGAAGTTCAAATGCTGACAGAGTATTAAGCAAACTGCCAAGGGGAAAAGGTTATTATATTAAGGAATTTTTTTGTATCCTTGTTAGGTCTGGTTTGGTCGAAATTATGTACATAATGCCTGATAGCTGTTTTATTTCCATTGCATTTTATGAGTGCCTAATCCTTTCCTAAGAGAAGTAGTTTGGACACAAACTAAAATTATAATTTGAATTGGTGTGTATGATATGGTTTCTGCCAGAATGATTTAGTTGACTTGTGGTGGGTAGGCATCAGGGTTCACCTAAGTTTTGATTCTGTGAACAGACTGAATTTAGATGCCAAAAGTTACCTGACATATAGATTTCTGTATTGTTTCACAGCAATGTTACCCACATCAAAAGAGAAAGGTTTCATTTTAAATATACTTGCTTATGAATATAACTCACTAGAAATATGCAATATGCAATTATACAATATATACATAGCGGGTAGTAATGCTTTAAATGTTTCTTACAACTATCAGTCTGTTGCTTACTAAGCTTTTCATTCTATCATATCTCATCTTTTTCTGAATTTTAGTGGCACCTTCATTTCCAGTGATGTGTGTCTTTTACCGCTCATTCATACTGAGAATTTTCTTAACTACTGCTAGGGCTGTTACCTGTAATTTCTGGCAAGTACATGGCCACAGGTTATCCTTTAAATCATGAGTGAGAAAACTTTGTCTGTAAAGGGTCAAATAGTAAATATTTTAGGCTTTCTGGGCCATAAATCCTCATTGCAACTCTACCATTTATTGTAATGGAAAAGTGGCCATAGACAATATGTAAAAAAAAAAAAAAAAGAGCATGGCACTTTTCCAATAAGACTTTATTTACAAAAAAAAAAAAAAAAAGTGGATATGGCCTATAGGCCATAGTTTGTTAACCTCTGCTTTAAATCAACCTGAAACCTTTGTTAAGCATATCATGTATCTCTAGTCTTCCTAGGCACCTAAAAGCACATCCCCTCTTTTGTAATTTAAGAAGAGATTTAGGGATCTTTTGTTCATAAAATGCATCCCACTAATAATCATTAGCTCTTCTATCTCCCATGCTTCTTAACCGTGTCAGAAACACTTGTGTAATCATTGCCTGTATCTGCATACAACATATTCATATTAATTACCTGTTTGCCTTATCTCTCCCCACAGACTAGAAGATTCTTGAGGAGGGCATTGTGTCTAATCATTGCTACTATAGCCCCAAACACTTAGTACAACTTCAGGTACCCAGTGCATAAACATCTATTCATTAAGAACAAATTTCATTTTTAAAAGGTAGGAAAAGAAAACATTGACATCATCCATTTGTTTAATTTTATTTTATAAAAAAGAAAGTCTTGATATTGATAAGTCATACCTGATACACTGATGGTGTTTACTATAGTGATTTTAGTTTTTTCTGTAAAGAAGCAATTTAAACATTAGAGCAGAATTGTTGCTTGTTTTTAAAAAACAATTTGCCATGAGTATCATTTTAGTGAAGTGCTAAGAAAATCATGCTGTTGATACCTTTAAGACATTATTGGTCATCTCAGCAGAATGAATGGGAATCGCATACACAGATCATATAGCATTGGCACAGGGTGGGTCTGGGATTTAGATTCCCATGTTTATCCAGTTAGATCACAGCCATTACACACCCCACTGCTTGTGTAATTCTACTGCAGTCTCCATGCTCTGCTGCTGCTAGACAAATTAATGAGGACTTACACTTCAGATATGTAGAATTAAGTCACTATCAGGACCTTTAGGTGATAGATTGTAAAGATCAGGTGATTAGAATAAAAATTAATGGAAACAGTAAACAGCACTAAAATATTGCTACTATACTCTACAATCAACAAAGTGTCCTGCTATTTTCTCTAGGAGTTAATACAATACTATTCCCATTGTATTGATAGATAAAATTATTCTCAGAGAGGTTGAAACTATCCAACTACAGTCATACAATAAGCTCACAGCAGAACCAGGACAGAACTGTTGTGAGTCGATGACTCACAGGTGAATATTAACACATTCTGAGGAAGCAAACTTTAGAAATATCTTCCCAACACATTTCGGGGACAGAGCCCAAGGTTAATTTTGCAGATAATGGAGAACCAGGTTCAGAAATCCTGGCTGTAAGGATGGCTGTGTTCAGGGCACTGATTTACAAAGAAGCTCTGTCTCCTAGGTTGAGTGGCAAATTCTGAAGGAAACACAAAGCTCAGATCTTGGAGAGGTACTTAAGAATGATGATGTTATGCTGACAGTTCCAGAAACCTCATCTGTGTATGTGTTATTAATGACTTTCCGTTTCAGTGTGACTGACCCATGGGCAATGATTGGTGGTAATTATAGAGGCTGATAGCATTTTGTATTATAATGAATAATCCTTTAAATACATTATTTTGTTTGCCTTGATACTTTCCTTTCCAGAGCAAACAAGATACAATGGTAAAAGGAGCTTCTGGATCTAGTAACAAAAGTGCTTTATGGGAAAGTTTTCAACCTCACTAATGATCAAAAATGGAAAAAAACCAAAGAAGTTGAGAGAAAATTTTAGTGATACATCATAGAGACTCAGGTCTCAGCAAAGGTACAGTGACACAGACATTCTTAGCCACTATTGGCAGGAATATTGCTGGGTACAGCCTTTCTAATTGGGCAGCAGGTATCAAGGGCCTTAAAATCTAATAACGCTGACCCATTAAATCTAGTCCTTGGAATGCATCCTATGGAAACCAGGGACAACTGCAAAGATGTTGGCACAAGGATATTTATTGCAACAACTTCTATTTAAAAAGTAGAAACTACTCTAATGATCAACAGATGGTACATAATGGAATATTATCAAGTCGTTAACAGTAAGGGACACTAGAAAATACTTATACCTTAATATGAAGTCCAAAGGGTAAGATTTAATAATCTAGGTAAAATATGACAGTGTATATGTACATATTATACTGAATGGAAATATACCAAATTAGGAACAGTAATAGTCTTAGGAAAGTAACATTAAAGATGAATTATAGTTTCTTTGTATTTTTCTCTATTCTTCATTTTTGTGAGCTAAGATATATTATATTATACTAAAAATATTATTTTAAATGGAGTGCTATGGCCATAGAAGTTTGGAAGATCCAGAGTGCGGCGACACCAGAATTACAGTTAATGCCAAAGTAAAATGAGTACTAAGTCAACAGTTGAAGGCACAGGAAGTGGGCAAGGAAATAACTTTTACTAATCCAAAAGACCACACAAGTCAGAAACTGAAGAAGCCACAGAAGACAGCTATTATATTTAGAAATAACTTGGTATTACCTGTGTCGTTTGAAGTAGGTAACATGGTTGAAGTAGCATCTGAAATAAAATAATAAAAATTAGCCTAAGTATTGGCATGATTAATTAACACATGCATCTTCCTAGGTTTCTTTAACATTTCACTTTTCCCCAAATCTTGGAGAAGTTAGAGAGTTTTGCTAAAACCAACTGACACTACCAAATGTATTTGCTGCCCACCTCTCACCACACCATCCATTCTCCAACCCCCAGAGACAACTCCTGAGCAAGTGTTCATTCATTCAAAATGTGTTTCCTAAATAAAAGTTATATGTCCAAAACATAGCAACACTCCTGTAATTAATAGATTTAAATAAACTCATTTATGTAGCTTTGTAGTTTAATATATTATTCCCTTTTTTCTCTATTATAATGAAAGTCCCTAAGGGATATGATATTTTCACAGTTAATACTAATTTTAATAGATAGCCCCATGGATGCTTAATGCACTTTTATATAATGTAGTTCACCCTTATGAAAATCATTCTAGTTTAAATTTGGAATTCTTGAGCATTATACTCAACTAACTTTTAGGAAATCTTATTTTCATCTTGTTTCACTTAAAATCCAATTTAAAATCTATTCTATTGGTAGTTCTTTTAACAAAAAGCATTTGAGAATTTATTATTCCAGATGAAACTTTAGGGGGAAAAAAGGCATGTATTACATTATCACACTTTTAACCACATAAAATGGGATTCAAAAACTACTGCCAAAGCTATTTTGAATATGTTCTTTCAGTGTAAAAAGTAATTGCACATAAAAATGATAACGTCTGGCCCTTCCCATTGGGCCAAAATTGAATTTAAGCCAGTTTTGATCAGTGTGAGCTGCATCTATAATTATTTAGCTCTTTAACTGCCAACCACATGGTGAGATCTTATTTTAACCAAGGGATTGTGAAAAGTGCTGGATTTCGACTGCAATAAGATGGAAGGCTGGCTACCCACCAAGGGGAGGGAACAGAATGTGCTGCCCTGCCCACCTCCCTCGAATTTAACCTGGTTCTTTGCCCTTTTTGCCAGTATAATGTAGCCAGTTTTCTTTTTATATCATACTATTTTAAAATTAATAAAATCATCTGTAAAAAGGCTGCCTTTGAACACTCTGTGCCTCCAAAGGCTTGCTGAATCATATTGAAGTCACTGGATGTGCTTTTCACATTTAAGCAATCTGTCATATAAAATGTGTTGGCATTGTGTTGGTGAGCAAGTGAAACAGGGCACTCAAAATGTGATCAACATTTCTTTTCTTTTACAGAACAGTTTAGAGTGATGGAGGGCTGTCTTCCCTCTGTGATATGAATTTTATTATTTAACCAGAAAGTTTAAGTTGCTCTCCAGGGTTGACAGTCTTGGGGATTTTGCGGGTTTTTCTTTTTGTTTTTTTGTATATGGAAACCTTCAACACCATCCATTATACTTATATTCATATTAAGGGTTATCAATTTTCACTTGCTTCAGAAAAATTCTTACCATTTAGGCTTGTAGTTTCAACCTCTTTTGTTCCGAGGGAAAAAACAATACAGAGATATAATTAAATCACAAACTTAACAAATTGGACTAAATCTAGGTTTAAATTTTTTCAAAATCTTGCCTGGAGTACCATTAGGGTAGGGGACAAAGCCAACAAGAGAGTCAGCTGCAGGAGAAAAAAAAACCACAAATTTTTCAAATTAATATTTTGAAACATTCTATTTTAAGAAGTTAGAACTTTTGAGATACAATCACAAAAAGAAATGGAAAACATTCTATGAGACCAATATGTAATTAAATCTGCAAGGTTTATAATCACCTAGTATACATTTAATTGAAGAATTGTAGAGAAAGAACCCAACAGTCTCATTTTACAAGATGAAGAACCCAAGACTCATTATCACAAAGCCTGCTCCTACTTATGGATATTATGGAAATAAGTTTAGGAAGCACAACAAAATACAAGGCATACTACTTTCAAAAATTTTTTTCAACCAGAGAGTTCTAGAAAACATTTTATACTTTAAAAATTTTGTCAAACTACAATTATGAAACATATTGGCAGATTGGCTTCATTTGGTTATAATGATGCCTGGCAATTCTTCCCATAGTGAATTTAGGATTTAAAAAAAATAAAACATTGCTATCACTCAATATTGTACCACCTAACACAATTTCCTGGTAAGTTATTTTAAAGTTATAAATTTACCGTGGAATAACTCCGCTTATGCTAAGGGATCAGACTACTACATACATTTTACATGTTTAGATATTAAAAAGATCCAATGGCTTGACCTCTATATATATACAAGAAAAGTAAACACAAACATTTTATAACTTAAACTTTGCACTGGGGCGCCTGATATTCAGCCTGTAAGGACAGCATTTGGGCGTGTCAAGTCTCTTGGCTGGTCCGTTTTAGACTGTTCATGCCTTAACTGAAATACACACACCCTGTCTGTCCTACATTATTCATTCCGTATTTTGTCATTTACTACATTTTTTTAATTACCAAGGACGTTGCTTCAGAAGTAAGTTCCTGAGAAGTAAGATGCAAAGTGTGGATATGGAATCCTTTGCTCCTGTGGCAGAACAAAATACTTGGCCAAATCTGTTTTTTAATTAATGACTACCAGTTTTTCTAAATGTCAATGATTGGTGAAGCCATAAAGAGGAGGTCTGTGGGCACAGCTGCCCTTGATGTGCACTGGCTCTTACCTTCCAGTTAGTGCAGCTCTCCCCCAGGGCACCTAGAACCCAGGCTGTGGCTGGAATCAGTGTGTGCCTCCAAAGCCCCATATTCCATTCCATGCAAACAAGATTTTGCAAAGATATCACTATGATTAAGTCTGATGAGGGCTATTGTACCAGAAGAAATACAGTGGTTCATTTTACCCTAGAAGCTTCACAATGAGGGGGCAAAATGGCAAAGTAAAGAGAGCTTGGGGATTTGGAGACTTGCAGTTCTGGGTATGAATCTTTGCCCCATTTCTTAATAACCCAAAATAATGATCATTATTTCTTATTGAGGGTTTACTCTGTGCCAGGCACACGTGTTATGTCATTTCATCTTCACAGTTACTCCATGAAACAGGTACTGTTAAAGATGAAAGAGCTTGCCCAAAGTCATACAGCTAGCAATGGGCGTGGAGGACAGTGGCTGAATTCAAATCCAAGTAGTCTGGCTTCAGAGAATGTGTGAACATGAACAAGTTTTATCCTCTCTGAGCCTCAGTTTTCCATCTCTAATATGAATATAATGATTTCTGTGCTGCAAGATTAGAAGCAAAATGAGATGTCTGAACATTCCCAGGCATGTAGTATGTGCATAAGAAGTAATAGCTATTATTATTTTGTTTAAATTAATTCATAACAGTATAAGCTCATTTTCACACAACTAAGAATAGAGTGTGAGTTGATTCACTCCTTACCACAAAAGATTGTTCTGTAACACATGGTATGTCAGAAAGAACACAGAAGTAGGAGTCAGAGAAGACATCTCTGTGTGGTGTGGGGCAACTACTGTGTGACTTTAGACAAGTTACTCAGCTGCTCCAGGCTTCATGTCATCAACTAAGGGATGGGGCTAGAACGACTTTGTCCCTGATGTCCCATTTCAGTGAGTAGTCTCTAATGCAGGTTCTGTTCCTGGTTCCTGCCATACATGTCTTAGTTATAAATTTCTCTTTAATTTATTTGTCTTCCCATTCTTATGAGTGCTAAGCCCGTAGAAGCCTTTTGAAAAATATTCAGTGGGGCTACTGAGGAAATTTAAGAGGATATTTCATCCTTTGAATATAAGAACATTTAGCATGTTTATATTCTTGATGCTCTTTAGGAGACTTGTGAACTAGAATACTAAAAATAACATTGAAGAACTTAAGCAGTTACCATAATGAAAACCCACTATTTACTTCCCTACTTTGTCCAGAAATGTGTAGGAACAATGTGCCTGTCTGCTTATGTTTCCTACTGACTTTTCAAGTGTAGGTTTAATGACAGAATTTAATGTAGTTAAGCTTCATGGAGAAAAAGAAAACCAACAATTTTGCTGTATCTGACTACATGCCGTATTGCATGGAGAACTTTTAGAATATTTTCCTGAAATTTCCCAAAGTCATGAAATAACAGTCTTACCAGATGGTGGTAACAGACTGGAATTATCAGCATTCTCTGTTGAGGAAAAAGGTGACTTAAAATTAGCTTTGTTTCTGCATAAATTTGTAGGAGAGTAACATCTTTAATGGCAGAGAATGTAAAATGAGTTATAAATAGTTACCAAAAGAGGGCAGTATGTTAATCTGCTATTTCCTTTCTCCTTCTTTCTCTCTTTCTTTCTTTCTTTCTTTCTTTCTTTCTTTCTTTCTTTCTTTCTTTCTTTCTTTCTTTCTCTCTCTCTCTCTTTTTCTTTCTCTCTCTCTCTCTCTTTCTTTCTTTCTATTTTATTTATTTATTTATTTTTTCAAATACATTCGTCTCTATTTTCAACAGCCTAATCAGTACTTTTCAGTTCTCTACAAAGACATATCTCTGGTGAAGCAGTCTTCCAATTTAACTGTTGATAGTACTTAATATGTTTTGCTATATAATGGTTTAGTACATTTTAAACTAAGAGTGATGACTAAGTTGTTGGCTAACATTCATTACAATTTGTAAAAGTAAATGTATACATCTGCATATATTAAACTTCCATTAACTGTGCTTCTTTTTATACCTATTAGCACAGACTTTATACCTATTGAGCCATTTCTTATGTGTTAAACTAGATCAAATACCTCTGTGCATATAAACTACAAGAACTGCTGTGCTCCTTAAAAGAAAAGTAATTCTATTTTTTCTCTATGAAAAATAATACACAGTTATTGCAGAAACTTCAGAAATTACAGATAAACAAAAAGAAAATTTAAAAAAACTGCCTATAATTTCACCACCCAGAGATAAATGACATTAACATTTTGACAGATATTCTTTTCTCTCTTTCTATGTGTATATGCATATCTACAGATATACAGTTGACCCTAGAACAAAGTGGGGATTTGGGGCAACAATCCCCTTTGCAATTGAAAATCCGTGTATAATTTCTGACTCCCAAAAAACTTAACTGCTAATAGCCTACTGTTGACCAGAAAAAGACTTATCAATAAGATAAAAAATTGATTAACACATGTTATTATATGTATTATACACTGTATTCTTATATAGTGTAAAGTAAGTTAGAGAAAATATTATTTAGGCAATCACAAGGAAAGTACCTTTACAGTATCTATTGAAAAAATCTATGCATAACTGGACCTGCATAATTCAAACCTGTTTTGTTCAATATGTATTTATATGTATGATAAGAAGGACCATATCACATAAACTATTTATAGCCTGATTTTTCTCCATGTACCCAGTATATTTAGTGACTTGATGGCCTCATTTAACTGGAATTGCCTCTTCTTAGTCTCTGCCCTTCAATATATCCATAATTTTACTTTAGTATTTCACAAAAGAGTGTGTTAACAGGAATGTAATTTTTAAAATACTCTTGGGAGAGAGCTGGTTCTTTCAAAAGATAAAAAAGATTGATAAACCTTTAACTAGACTCATCAAAGAAAAAAGAGAGAGGGCCCAAATAAATAAAATCAGAAATTAAAGAGGAGAAATAAAAACTTACACCACAGAAACACAAAGGATTATAAGAAAATATTACAAACAGCTGTATGCCAACAAATTAGACAAACAGCAAGAGATGGATAAATTCCTGGAAACATAGAATTTCCTAAAACTGAATCAAGAAGAAACAGAAAATCTGAACAAATTACAAATAATGAAGTTGAAGCAGTAATGAAAAAAACTTCCAACAAACCAAAGTTCTGTATGGGATGGCTTCACAGGTGAACTTACTAACACCTCTCCTTATTAAACTATTCCAAAAATCTAAAGAGGAGGGAAGACTCTCAAGCTCATTTTACAAGGCCAGTGTTATCCTAATTCCAAAACTGGATAAGGACACTACAAAGAAAGAAAATTATAGGCCAATATCCCTGATGAACATAGATGCCAAAATCCTCAACAAAACATTAGCAAACCAAATCCAGCAATGCATTAAAAAGATCATACACTATGATCAAGTGGGATTTATTCCTGTGATGCAAGGTTGGTGCAATATTTGCAAATCAATTAATGTGATATACCACGTAAATAAAATAAAGGATAAAAATAATATCATATCAATAGATGTATAAAAAGCACTAGACAAAATTCAGCAACAATTTATGATAAAACTCTCAGCAAAGGGTGAATAGAGGGAACAAACCTCAACATAACACAGGCCATATATGACAAATCCACAGCTAATATCAAACTCAATGGGGAAAAACTAAAAGCATTTCTCTTAAGATCAGAAACAAGACAGGTTGTTCACTTTTACCATACCATTCTTATTCAACATAGTAGTGGAAGTCCTAGCCATCGCAATCAAACAAGAAGAAGCAATAAAGGGCATCCAAATTGAAAAGAAAAAAAAACTGTCATTATATTTGTAGATCATATGGTATTGTATATAAAGAACTCTAAAGAGTCCACCAAAACAAAACAAACAAACAAACAAAAAACCCTGCTAGAACTGACAAGTAAATTCAGTGAAGTAGCAGGATACAAAGTAAGTATCCAGAAATAGATTGCATTTTTATACACCAATAACTAGCAGAAAGGGAAGCTCAAGAAAACAATCCCATTTGCAATTACATCAAAAAAATAGAAATAAAATACCTGGGAATAAATTTAACCAGGGAGGCAAAAGAAAATAACTGTACTTGGAAAATTATAAGACACTGAAGAAGGAAACTGAAGATACAAATAAATGGAAGCATATACCATGCTCATGGACAGGAAGAATTAACATTTTTTAATGTTGGTACTACCCAGAACAATCTATAGATTCAATGCAATTCCTATCAAAATACCAGTGGTATATTTCAAAGAACTAGAACAAATAATCCAAAAATTTATATGAAGCCACAAAAGACCCCAAATAGCCTTGGCGGTCTTGAGAAAGAACACAATTGGAGAAATCATGCTACTTGGTAGCAAACCATACTACAAGGCCATAGTAACCAAAACAGCATGGTACTGGCATAAAAACAGATACGTAGATCAATGAAACAGAATAGAGAACCCAGAAATAAACCCATACCTATATGGTCAATTAACATTTGACAAAGGAGACAAGAATATACAACAGGGTAAAAAAAATTATTCAATAAATGGTGTTGGGAAAATTGGACAGGTACACATAAAAAAAGAAACTGGACTGCTTTCTTACACCATATACAAGAATAAACCAAAAATGGACTAAAGGCTTAAATGTAGGACTCAAAACATTAAAATTCCTAGAAGAAAACATAGGCAGTAAAATCTTGGACATTTCCCTTAGTAATATTCTTCTGATATATCTCCTTGGTCAAGAGAAACAAAAGAAAATAAATAAAATGGACTACATTCAAACTAAAAAGTTTTTGCACAGCAAAGGAAATCATCAACAAAATGAAAAGACAACACACTAAATGGGAGAACATATTAGCCAATGATATATATGATAAGGGGTTAATATCCTAATTTATAAAGTTCTCAACATACTACTCAACACCAAATACCAAACAATCCAATTAAAAAATGGGCAGAGGACCTGAATAGCTACTTCTCCAAAGAGGACATACAGATAGCCAATAGACATATGAAAAGGTGCTGAATGTCACTAATCATCAGAGAAATGCAAATTAAAACCACAATGAGATATCACCTCACACATGTCAGAACGGCTGTCATCAATAAATCAACAAACAATAAATGTTGGTGAGGATGAGGAGAAAAGGGAACCCTAGTGCACTGTTGGTGGGAATGCAGATTGGTGCAACCACTATGGAAAACAGTATGGATGTTTCTCAAAAAATTAAAAATGGAACTGCCTTACATACCCAGTGATTCCACTTTTGGGTATATAGCTGAAGAAACACAAAACATTAATTTGAAAGAATATAGCACCCCTATGTTCATTGCAGCGTTATTTATAATTTCCAAGGTATGGAATTAACCCAGGTGCTCATAATTAGACAAGTGGATGAAAACGCTGTGGTACATATATACAGTGGAATATTACTTGGCCGTAAAAAGAATGAAATCTTACCATTTGCAACAGCATGAATGGGTCTAGAGGGCATTATGCTCAGTGAAATAAATAAGTCAGAGAAAGACAAATACCATATGATTTCTCTTATATGTGGAATCTAAAAAAACAATATAAATGAACAAACAAAACAGAAACAGACTCAGATACAGAGAACAGACTGATGGTTGCCAGAGGGGAGGGGGGTTTGGGGACTGGGTGAGAATGGTGAAGGGATTGAAAAGTACAGATTAGTAGTTACAAAGTAGTCATGGGGATATCAAATACAGTATAAGAAGCATAGTTGATAATACTGTAATAACTATGTATGGTGCCAGGTGGGTACTGGAATTATCAAGGGGATTACTTCACTATGCTATGACACCTGAAACTAATAGAAAATAACATTGAATGTAAACTGTAATTGAAAAAAGTTAAAGAAAAAACATAGTTACTTTCATATAATACAAAAAATATTTCACTGATTATTTAATGGAAAAACTGAAGATTGTTAGTAGGGTAACAGGATACTGGTCAGTCTTTTTATGTTCTCTGCTGGCTAAAGTCCATGTTCAGAGCTGATAAAAGTTTGACATTGAATTAACCTGGCAAAAGTATCACTTTCTCTACACTATAAAACTCTCTAGAGATAGTTTTGAGTTGTAAGGTATATATAAATAATAAGTACATTGCTTTATGGTCTTTAGTCTCAGCTGTAAATAAAAAGATAGCCTATCTCCATTTAGAGATAATCATGTACTTCACACATATATTCCCACTGACAGTGACCTTAATTTAATGCTATCACAATTAAGGACTTTTACATATTACAGTTGAAAGAGCAAGCATGGTCTTAGGAGTCAAATGGTTTTGTGTGCAGTCTATATAACTTTTTTTATGTAAGTATATGAGTGATGTAAATGCTCAGAGCCTCAATTAAAAGGTTTCCTATGTATTAAAATAGTGAAAATAATACATATAGCACAAGGCTGTTGTGAGATACAATGTTTTTTATAAAGGGTGT